CTTTAAGAGTTTGTGAGTGAATAATGAAAACAGAGCGAGTGAAAGCTAGAAAGAATGTAAATGTTTCCATTTGTAAGGTACGCATTGCCAGATATGCGAGTGTGTGCGCGCGTGTGACATGTGACGTCATGCAGTGACTGCTAGCATTATAACATCACAATATTCACATGCGTGAATTAATTCACAAACCCGTTAGTTTATTACATATTCTTGGTTCTTTCGGTAAAGTCACGTAGAAGGGAAACAATACAATTTTATTATTTTATATTTTTATTATTTTATTGTTTCCCTTCTACGTGACTTTACTGAAAGAACCAAGAATGTGAATCCCTGAAGTTACAAAAGCTTTAAATCAAAGTTTATTACATGTTTTTGTCATTGCATTGTTGAGGAGTAGAAGAGTGGTGGTAGGCTCAATTATGAACCCGGGCCATGGCTTAACGTGAGTGGTGAGTGATATCTAAACCAGTACTGGAAAAGCTTCCTTCACCAACTAGCAATGGCCATTGTGCTAAAGTATGATCAAACAAAACCCCCGTGATCAACACGGGATGGCATTGACAATGGCATGTACATTATTTTCGATTGCTTAATTTGTTCAACTAAAACAGTTGACGGATAACCACTCCTCCGGTTAGCGCCGTTGGCTACGCACGGTGCGAACGAGATTCAACATGCATATGTAAATGTGTGGATCACGGTTTTTTGAAACAGAACGCTAAATTTCGATTTAAAGCTTTCGTGACTACAGGGATTCATCTTCTAGGTTCTTTCGGTAAAGTCACGTAGAAGGGAAACAATAAAATAATAAAAATAAAACATAATAAAATACAAATATTGTATTTCCATTCTACGTGACTTTACCGTAATAACCAAGAAGAAGAACGCTAAATGCTGTTCGTGTTCAGCACCATACGTGACCACTTGTATTCTGTGCCCGCATTAGATAATGAGATATCGCGTGTACAGTATACGGGTCCATACTCTATCGCTGGCAATATTGCCCTGTAGATGAATAAAATAAATGGTTGTGGTTCCTCCTGAATCAAATAATAGTTTGTTTTTTAGTTCATGCAAAGAAATGTGATAAAATGGTATTTAACATTAATATTGAGTAGAGCAATTTGTAATTGTTCGTATGCAATGCATTTGAATGTTTAACATTTGTATTTTAAGATGTTTTTTTTGCCTAAAATTTCAACCGTAAGTTACCACTCAAATGCTAATATTGCGTGCGGTGTTAACTTTGCAAGTTAAGTGGAGGGATATAAGAAGTCACAGCGTTACGGTTCTAAAGAAGGACTCTGCGTTCGTTCAACGTGTATGTTTGCAGATACGGAAAACGTGTCTAGCAAAATCCTTCGGTTAGCTTCTTAAGTCGCCAGTGTAAATCTTCAATATTGTGGTGGCTTGGCCAGTTGCGTGACTAGTTTTTCCAGGGCTTACTTCCCCTCCCCTCCCACCCCCTTTCTCCGCCCCCCCCCCCTCGATCTCCCCCCTATCCCCCACCCCCCGGCAAAAAAGTGGTTTTGGATATAGAAAAAATAAGGAATTGGTAGAAGCATAAATGGATAATAATATTAAAGTAATTGCGTTGAGCATTGTTTCAGCTACTTACAACCCTGCAATCTGGCATGTCTTTGAAAAATGCACCTAAGGTTAATGTTAACTGTACAACGAACCCATTATTTGGCTCGTTTTTTTTCCCAAGCACTCATTATTTTTACAGTATGGTATATGTCAAAGACTCCTGGGCCCAGCATCTTATCCAAATTACTTCAGACTATTATTTTAACCCTTTTTGAAGTGACCAGTCTGGTATTTTAAAAAAACAACCATATTTGATGTGTAAAAATTTCATCTTACGCGCCTGAAATTGTATTCGTGGAGGCCAGTTTAAAAAAGATTTTTCACTTGGATTTACTTCAACAGCGCTATATATTATTAACGCATTCTTTTGACGTGTTGTCAGCATTTTCATTCTTTAAACAGTCTACCAAAGGTTTTATTTGCAAAAAAAATAAAAAAATCACTTGCCGTTGTGTGCCAGACCCACACGGTTATGATGCTGGTGTTTTGAGGCCTAGACGCACGCACACAAAAAAATGGCATTATATAAATAGGAGTGTGGCATTTTTTGTGTTTCTGGAGCGTTGAGAGCCAAATTGAACGCATGCCACGGAGCAAGTGAGCATGACCAGAAGGGGCACAGTAGCCTCGCCTAGTTTATCAAATGTTCCTCTAATGCAAAGCAGTTCTATTTTTCAACATAACCAACGTCCCCTGGGACTTAATTTTCCAAATGTTTTCCATATGTTGCTAACGCCAATCCACGGTTTTACCTTGATGCCTTCCCAACCTTCGCCCCGAGGCTACCCGTTGCCCACACAAACAACTGCATTAAGAAACATTGGTCAGCTAAAAATAAAACCCATGCTATTTTGTCCTGGAAGATCAGGTTTTAGGTGTAAATTTTTTGACTATTAATTCTCAATGCAGATGGCCTCAACATATTCTCGTTAAGGGAATCCGTATCGTCGGCTCACATTGGTTGAGTATGGTACGTGTGCATCTTCTATATACGTACATTTATATATATAAATATATACCAGTGGTTGCATTTACTGTATATTCTGCAGTACATTTAAAATCCTCATTTTAATTATTGTCACCTCTCAGGGTTTATAGGAATTCACGTGACCTGATTCCATTTGCAAAGTTGAGGCGTTGAGTTGTGTGTATGAAATGTTCGACTTCTTTCGCACCGTACGTAGCCAACCGTGCTAATCGGAGGTTCTCCACCCCTAGAGCTACTTCGTGGCTATTATTCCCTCCAAATGATACTCTCCCTCTTCATTTCGTAGCTCTGCAATACATTATGTGGTTCTTGGGACAGCGTATAGGTGTATAGGTGTTTATTTTCGTGACGTCTATGAGCAGTGTAGTTCCAAGCATGCATCTCTCCACGCTTATTCTGAGCACTTGCGACTGCCAATGTATTTGTCAGTGTGAGACAGAAAGAGGAGCTTACGGAATATACTTAGGATTACATCTGCAATTTTGACTGTAAAGAAAACTAAGTGTGCCTGAGTAGGGCACATCTCTAGAAGCAATGGTGGCTGGTGGGCAAACAATAACAAGAGAGTGGGAGCCAAAGGTGGGAACGTGCCCAGGAGACATTTACTCTCTGGATATAGAGTGATGAAATCAGCTTGTGTGCAGGTGCGTAAATGGATAACCATGCGAGATGGTGACCAATCTGGCAGTGGATTGGTCATCGGTGATGATGGCGATGCCCGCCAGTGGATGCAGTTTAAATGCCATGACCAGGAATTGAAACTAACCAGCACTGCAGATGCTGCACATTGCAGAGAGCAACATTAAAATTCTACAGTAATTGTAATTCTTGAAATCTCTCTGGTGCTTGAGGCTTTACATTTGACACACGCTCTGATTTCATTCCCCCCCCCCACCCCATCATTCTCTATTCTTTATGTTCTTTGTGGTTGGGTCTGCGTCGTGAATTTCAGGTCCCCCCCTCCTCTCTCCATCTCTCTGTTTGCCGATCGTGGCCTTTTGCCTTGGGGTGGAACTTTTCCATGCTTTTCTCCCAACCTTTTTGGAACCGATGCGTGAGGAGGGGGGGGGGGGGGGTTAATTCTTCGTGTTTATTTTGTAACGGGATTTATAGTAGATTGACCCGCGTCGTAAATCGCGTTTTGCGGACCATCGTGGAGCCAAGCTCTGAAAGTGTGGCCGCACCCTTGCGGCACGAGACAGTGTCTGCCCGGCTTTATCAGCAGAAAAGCGCCGCTTATGATGCTCCCACGACCAATTCCGCTGATTTACCGTTGTTGGCCTGGGCAGTGGAGAATATTTTTTGACAATTGATTACATTTATAAATCACACGCAGTCCCATGCACTCCCTTGGAGACCGTGATCTTGAGACATTTGCTTGTTATGGCAACTGGGAGCTGTGTGAGGTCCCGCTGTCAAGTATCCAGGGATCGTGAAAGCAGGGGGTGGCTCAGCTGAGGTCAGGCACACTGGGTAAACCTAGGGGGCACGTGCGCGCGCTCTTCCCTGCCTGACCGTGCTGAGCCATGGGTGCATCTCAGAAAGTGAGATGAAAAGAGGGCTGTAGGTGACGTGAGTGCATCCATACGATGAGCGGTAGCACAGCGGTTATAGCGCGCTGCACTACGAACCCGGCGACCCGAATTCGATTCCCACTCACGGCCAACACTCGTGACGATTAGCTGGACCGGGCCTGGGCCTTCTCTAGCTCAACTCAGCCTCAAATGAGTGCCTGGTGCAACGTGTAAACATCGCCACTCGGAAGACAAAATGCGGCCGGGCGTGGTGCTGGCCACCCACCTCCCTCGTGTGCCATGCCGGCTTTCATAGGTGCTCGCTAACAGCACTTGCCCCAACAGACTGTTAAGGCTAAATGGGGGGACCTTTATCTTTGTATACGATAGTAATAATAAACAATTTACAGCGCTATGTCAATCCACTGCTGAATGAAGGGCAACCCCATGTCACGTCAACCGTGGGGGTGTTGGCTGAGCAGCATTTGAGATATCGCTCGGTGTGGTTAGCTGTGACTCGGAATCAAACCCCGGTGACCAGGTTCACAGCACGAGTGCACAAACCGCTCCATCGACACTCTCCAAATAACGTTTCACTATAAATTCAGTTTGTACCTATTTTGAGTTTGTATCAGCAAGCAATTGGAAGGGAAAACGTGTTAACCATCTATGACACAATGCAGAATAATCCAATTTAGATTCATGACGCGTCTAAGCTGGAGTGCATCTCGTGAAGCTGCGCGTGGAAGGAGCCATGGCCAAGGTGGATTTGGATTTACACAACATTTTCCCCGATATACAAAAGGTGAAAGTGGCTTCCCGAATAACTGGTCAGGGCGGATACGTGACGGTCGGATACGTAACGTGACGTCGTCTTGTATTTTTTGTTTTGTGTTGCTTCCTGCCAGACGAGCACTGAACCTGGGCATCCTGCGGGAGCCCGGCTCGGAGGTGGAGGACCGGCAGTACCAGGTGGACCTGCAGGCCATCAACGTCAGCACGGGCTGCTGGGCCCAGCTGCGGCCCGACCGCGGCGGAGAGAGGAGCGGCCACGGCACGCCCGACGACGAGAGGGGCTCCCAGAACCCTGCCCTGGAGTGGAACACGGCCAGCGGGTGGGTTCACAACAGCGGTCGCAACCGTTTGGCTAAGGGAGGCAATTGAAATCACTAGTACGTTCGTCAAGTACATTTTCATTTTTTTGCCGACACACGTGCGGGTGCCTTTCTGCTGCAAATCTGCCACTCAAAGCATTCGTACTTAAAAGTTAAAATAGAACATTCTATACAACGCCTGCGGCGCCCCCGAACAACCATTTACGTCCTTTGGCCAGGAAAGTCACAAAATAAATTGCACACGAACGACGCATTCACGCAAGCACCCGATGCTCCGTTTTGAAGTTTTAAAATGAAACCTCTTTGAATTGTATTATGTTTTGAATTAGATCATTTTATTTCTTCATTAAAAGCTTATATCATTTTACATCTGGAAGACTTAATTGAAAACGACATTACGTGTGAATTTTCTCTCGTCGTTAAGTAGATGATGGTCTTGCTGGGGGTTCGGTTCGATGCGGACTTTCACCTGTTTGGGATTGCGGGATCGAGATAAGGCGACATAGAGCTGGTGGCCGTGCGAGAAGACCGCCGTCTGCAGATCGATTCCAACGTAATCGAACGCCTGTCCCTGCGCCTCCGTCATTCATGCAGGGGGTGCGTGTAGGTTTGCAGCGCCCCCTGCATGAAAACTACGGAAAGTGCAGCGTTCATCACAGATAAAGTTGTTCGCTTATATAAGAGTATTGTAGCGACATTAATGGAGTCACGACTGCATTTAGCCCCAGCTACTGATAAGAAAGTGGAGCTGCAAGTGTTGAAGCTTCTCGCTGGCACCAGGGTATGTTACAGCATGGAAAGGGGGCCCTAGGGGGCTTTGTTCCGGTGGACGTTAGAAAGGGGGTAGGGAGGATGTGACAAGTGGTTGAAACCGAGAGGGACAGGTGGCGTGGATCGAGAACCTTTTAGGAAGATCGAGAAGGAGGCGGGGCCAAGGGCTTGGGAGGCCACACTGAGAGGATAAGAAGGGGGCCCTGAGAGCCGAGGGGGGCCGTCTACAGGAACGGGACCCGCCGTGCTCCACTTCTCCGCTCTTCAATCTTGGGTCTTCGCTCGTCACGTTCAGCATCGTGGGTCAGGCAGTCTGAGAACTGACTGACCCAGCTTTGTAGTTACCTCGTTGTGGTCTAGTACCCCGTTGTAATCTAGTTAGCCCGTTAGGGTGTAGTTTATCCCGTTGTGGTTTCTGTAAGTGCCCCATTGGGGTCGAGAAATAAACGCGTTGCCTCCCAGTGAAGTGTGTGCCTCCAGTGAAACCAGTACATCATTAGAAAGATAATATATATACTATCTATGGTACATATTCATGTTTTTTCCATTCTTAAAGCATGAGGCTATGGTGAAGGCACCGCGATTCACAGATGATCGTAGTCTGCGGGTGTTTTCGCAGTAGAGGTGCGGTGTTGCTTACATGTCGATGTAACCAATCAAGTGATTTGCGAGTAGTTTTTTTTATTTGTACCACAACGGTTTTTACGAAATTCGACCAATCGACAGTTTTCACAACCGTAATGACAATGGAATGAGATGAGGACACTAGGTAGGATGAGAGAAGGGGCAATATATATTGCATATGGATCCCAAAAACCTACGTGAGTCTGGGTGGGTCTGTCTGTTAGCCTGTGGATCTCTATGTAAGGACAGTGGATGCGACTACTGAAGGCAAACTGAATATAAATAAATTTTGATTTAAAGCTTTCGTGACTGCGTTTTAAAAAAAAGCCACTTTTTTCAAATTTTCTTGCTGTGGTTTTCACAGCTGATGATGATTGCTTGTGTTGCAGTCGAAACGTCGTGAGAATTTTATTGTTTTATATTTTTATTATTTTATTGTTTCCCTTCTACGTGAACGTTACCGAAAGAACCAAGAATATGAATATATATACTTGGGGAAAGAAAATATGAGCAGCCGGACCCCATGCACTAATGGGACTTCTGGCTTAGAAGAAGAAGAAGAAAGACACAGAATAAAAACAGCGATTATATTAATCATGTTTATATTATATTATATTAATCATGTTTAATGCAAATGCGCGCTGTGCAGGCAGATAGTGAAAATGACCTCATTCCAATTCCTGCTGTGGTCAGCCTTTTCCAAGAGACGGAACACAGTGCTGGGCACTAACTGGCAGCAGCGAACAACCAGATGTTGGGAACATTTGTTTTTGCCAGGCATCTTCCTACGACGACCGCCGGTAGCAAGGTGTCAAGGTCGCCACTGGCCTTGCCCGTGCCGAGTCAGCAAGCGGCCGCCCCGTAGCTCCCCGCGTCCAAATCTCAGAAACGCTCCCATCATCGTGCATTTCTCTGGTCGCTTGCTTTCCTTGACAGCACTTTTCCTGAACCCCCTTGGGTTTCCAAAATGCCCAACCACCACGCTCTCTGCTTCTCTCCTCCCTCCACCTCTCGCCCCTGCAGTCTGCGGCGGTTCTGGTAGTCGAGTCGGCTCCGTGGGAGTGGTTGCTTGTGTCGGTTGCTGTACAGCTGCTCCTCGAACCGGAATGCTTTCATCTCCTCCCATCTCGAGTCCCGGGTCGTTTTCAATTGAGACTTTATAGAGCGGGCAGTAATTTACTCGTGCCTATAAAATAGTGACCTGCACCGTACCTAACTTGAGCTGTCACGAGTGCCCAGCTGCCCTCTTTTTATGTCGTTGCATTTTTCACATTACAGAATTGTGTTTTTTTTTAAGTGTATAAAATGGGTCTGCTAAAATAAATCCTCTCTGAAATATAGTTCTTCTTGCCAAAGGCAGTGTCTGGCTCAAGTCAAGGGATGCACAGTCTTTCAACGAATGACTTGCCTTCTTTTGAGAAATTGCAGTATTCACTTTAGTTTGTAAATATTTTTTCAGAAGTCTCAGTGGCCGTGCAGGGCTTATGTTTGAGAACTCACTGGTGTGCAATTTGTCATCTTAAGAGCAAAGAAAACTATAACGGCGGTGCCTTACATTGCATAACATAAAAAGCAAAACCTTATCAGCCGCGGCATTAGCTCCTGCTCGCCATTTAGCTCCATGACCGACATCCCCCCACCAGCGCCGTTGCCAAACCAAACATGCCCGAAAATTGGGGGAAAATGTGCGTTCGGTTCCACTCCCCGAGTGCAACATGGCAATCGTTACGAGCTTGGGGGGGACTTTTGTTACGATGGCTCCCTTCCGTGGCGTGCGTCTGGTCCCCTTGCAGCCTGCGGAGGCAGCCGGAGCGGAGGGCCATCCTCACGCCGCTCCTCACCGACTTCGGCATCAGGGTGACGGCCGCCCCCGCCGTCGTGTTCGTCAAGAACATGGGCGCAGAGCTCGGCCACACGGAGGTAATGGCGGGGCGCTCCCTACTCCCTCCGCTCAACCCCCCCCAACCCCGTCGCGCTGATCGGGATGGTGCCTTCGTTGTCACGGCGATCGTGAAAAGCCCCCGGCGACCATCGTGGGGGGGTTTCGGTGTTTGCCCGCCATGGCCGTGGTGCGCAGGAAGGCGAACGTGGCCTCACCCACCGGGTACAATTAACTATTTTTTTTATATTACCAGGCCCACTGAGCTGCGTAGCTCTTTTGTCAAAACTGACCCGGTCACGAATGAAAGCCCAACGAAGTGGAAATGTATAGCAGCCAAATACTCTGCACTTAGTCGTCGACTTGGAAAATGGAATGTAATCGTGGACAAGCGACCTTAAGTGCGTCAATGGTGGTGCGACGATGATACAGCCGCCGTATGTATTTAGTTTGGTTGTCCTTTACCCGCACCTCCGATTAGCACGGTTGGCTATGTACAGTGCGAAAGAAGTTCAACATTCATACGTCCAGCCAAAAGATGTTCAGCTAATCAAAATGAGTAAGATGTACAGCCCTTTGATTGACTCCGCTACTGGTTGATGACGTAGCCCCCCGCAGCAGCCTACAAGGTCTGTTATATGCACGGTGGTCACCCATCCAAGCACCGTCCAAACTCAAGGTCGCGTACATTCTGGGCAATTTGGTCATCGGCCCAGAAGTAATGGTGGTATGATGAAGATTTGAAAAATATTGTAATCCAGTCATCTGTCCACAGTTGTCCGCCGTGAGGAATAACAACCAAGCAATCGCGACGTTTACTGTGTTTTTCCTGCTCTCCAGGTCAGGTCACAGCCTCTCTAAATAACCCCCCCCCCCCCCAACAATCTTTCACTTGTGCTGATATTTGGTGAATTGATCACCCCCGATTGACCGTTTCTTCTGGAGCTTTAAGCTTAAAACATTCCTACCTTTGTTCGTAATTAGTTTACAATTAGCAAAACAACACGAGCAAACAATTCTCCAATGCACACTTCTACGCGTGTGCTGTGAGTGAGAGAATCCAGTTCAGTCGGCGAATCGATGCATTGTGACATCTCGTCATGGTGGCAAGATCTCAACAACCTCGCCTGGTATGCAGGAAGTCGTGGGTTCGATCCCGACCCTGACGACGCCTGTATATTTGGAGTTTGCATGTATCTCTCCCCGTGGTCGTGTGGATTTTTCTCTTGGTCCTCCGGTTTTTCACTCCACATTTATAAAAAAGCATTTAGAGTATATGGCTGCTGTCAATTTCCACGTGATAAGCCACTTCGTTGAGCTATGAATTATGGCCAGGTCCCTTCTGAAAAAGAGCTATTTAGCTCAGTGGGCCTCACCTGGTAAAATAAAAATAGTTTACTTTACAATAGTGTGTCAAACAGCACTTGCCCCATAAGTCTGTTCAGGCCTTAGGGGGGAGAATGTTTGTTGTTATTGTTGTTGTCTACGAGATGAAAGCGGCTCTGGCTTTCAGTGAGCGCTCAGAGGCGCAGAGGTGCAATGTTGCATGTTGGGGTTTGCGCGTGCGTGTGTGCGTGTGTACGTGTGTGTACAGGAGGTGCTGGTGTGTGGACACTCGCTGGAGGTCAACGTCACCTCCAGCCTCGACTTCTTCCTCAGCCTGGCACAGCTTCAACTGATGCAGCACTTGGCCGAGGAGAACTTGACTTCCTTTCCTGCCTCGCAAGAAGACGTGCAGGTGGGCATCATACTCGCAGGCTCTTTTGTAGCTAATTGCGAGCTGCGGTTGGAAACCGAGTACGTAACGTGCGTGAAACTGGGCAAATGTCGAGCGGTGTTCTTCACGTAACATCGGACAATTTTGCTGTTCGTGTGCCGACCCCACCACCATGTAGCCCAGCTCACTTGTAAGCTGACAAGCCAGAACCGCTTATATATTCTTGGTTCTTTCGGTAAAGTCCCTTCTACGTGACTTTACCGAAAGAACCAAGAATATGAATCCCTGCAGTCACCAAAGCTTTAAATCAAAACAGAACGGCTTAGTTTGCTATATTTCATGCCTTTCAAATACATTTTATTTTGGCTTAAAAAAAAACGATGATTAAAAACAATTCACCCAAAAAAACATCACACTCCTTTATTTGAAAAAAAAAAATACATTTCCCCATTCTTGAGAAGAGTAAATTCTGGTAAAACACCGTGCGTAGCATTCAGGCACGTTGCAGTGTTTCGGGGCGCCTTAAAACCAACGCTGTCCGTTACCTGGTGAGTGACCCCCAGCATACAGTGTAGCCCGCCCATCCAGGGCTGTTCTCCGATTCTGGACCTTCGTTTTCCCTGCCAACCCGTCCGCACTGCCGTTGGCATCGCCCCGAGAACAGCGACGGAACTTTGTGTTTTCTTCGTGTGTCCGTCGCCTTCACTCGCGCGCAGTTGGGGCGGGGGGCGGGGGGGGGCTCGGCACGTGTTGTCAGCGTCGCGTTCGCACTGCCACCTTCCCCCTGCACCCCCTCCCCCCACGACCCCCACCCCTCGTCGCAATTGGCACAGAGGCTCCAGGGGGGGTGGGGGGAGGCAGGTGGGGCGCCGTGCCGCAACGCTCCGCCGAGTGCCAAGAGGAGTCGGGACGAGAGTGGTACCGGCCGGAAAAGCCCATTGCTTGCTTTTTATGGGGACGCGGTGGGCGAGCACGGTAGAGGGAAATGAAGGGGGGCCCGGAGGCGGGAAGGCGGGGGGGGGGGGGTTCTCTGTTTGCACAAGGGAACATTTATATTTGGTGTGCACGTATCTGCGAGAGCTTCTTTGCCACATCATAGTTCGGCGGCTGTCACACGCTCCGTTCGCTGGCGGGGGGGGGGAGGGGAGGTGCAGCGGCCCTGCGCGAGCGTTTTTTGACGGATTGAGCACATCGCTCAACGCCGTCGGCCTCGCAGGATGGGAATTCTTTGCCCGTGATCCAAGTATATCTGCGGGATGTATTGACGTGGAAACCTGCAATGCGCCCGCTCATGATTCGATGTCAAGTCCATTTTCTGTACGTTCAATTGTAGGTTTTCTATGTAAACTGCACGTGCGTAAGTGAATCATTGAAGTGTGCAGCTGCCAAATTGTATTTTGTAATGTAACATTTATTTCCATTGGCTATTTATTTATATATTTATAGGAATTTTCTTGGGATTGATGTTAACGTGTTTCAACATGCTCTAAGACTTTGTAACCCTGCATAAATTACGCTGTGTTCTCTCCATGTTATCATTCCAATCATCCATATCGAGACATTTTGGATCCTTTATTAATCCAGATAAGACTCACCCCCACCATAGGAATGTGGAATTTACCAACTCTCTCTGTGACCTGTAAACAGAAGATGAGCACTACCCCAGATTGTTTGAGTGGGGAAATCACTTCGAATGATTCATGAATGCAAATTATATGTTTGAACGAACATTGTGCATCGTATAATTACGTTTAATTTTCCATAATTTTGAAACGTAACATTTGCGTAGCAATTTTAACGTTTAATAAATGAATCGCGTAATTACCGCATTGTGATTGCAACTGGACAAGTCGTCCTGTGGAAAATCGTAAAATCACACACTTTGTTTACATTCAACTAATTTCATACGCAGCGCTTAAGCCCCCGCAAATAGTGAGACATATTACGTGCCAGCTACGCAAAATTAAAGTGTGCAGCTTTCTGAAAGCGTGTGTGAACGTCTAAGGTATATTCTTAGCTCTTTCGGTAAAGTCACGTTGAAGGGAAACAATAAAATAATAAAATATATATAAAACAACGTGACTTTACCGAAAGAGCTAAGAATATGATTTACTGCAGTCACGAAAGCTTTAAATCAAAACGTCTAAGGTGTTGGAAGTTTCATTATTCGCTTGACTAAGGGGTAACAATCTAACGCTTGATCGCCGGAATGTACACACCTCTCTTTTTTGCGGGATTATTTAGATTATTTTGCTGCTATAAATTTCCACGTGACTGTAAACCACTTTTGATGAGCTATCATTTTGTGGCCAGGTCGCTTCTGAAAAATATGTTTATACCTCAGTGTCAAAGCCAGCCACCTGGCATCTTCGTTGCAACAATAAATGTGCAAGCAACGCTCACCGTCAGGAGAGGTATCTTCTTATTTATAGTTGCATTCGGTTTTTTTGTATACACTGCTGTTCAAGCGAAGCTTGTGAGAAATTCGCATAGGTTGACGTTGAATTCACTCCAACATTTTTGCTCGGGAATTGAGGTGGCAGATAGTACGATTTTCACTTTTAATCAGACGTACAAATAACAACGTTTAATTAGGGTAAAAAAAAAATTAAGCCATCTTTTTTTCCAAAAACTACCGGCAGTGTTTTGGCACAGATAATTAGTTTTAAAAACTTATGACTTGGAACAATATGGTTTTGCTAAGGCAAATAATGAAACAACTTTTACAGATACTCGCTAAAATGCTTTTCTTGTTGATGTTACTTCAATCATAGAATGATGTGTGTTCAGATTTCTGTACATAATTGGTGGTTAGTTACATGATTGTGAAGTTGAGTTTAGCTTGCATTATATTTTTTAGGTAATGTCAACTTTGCATGAAGCTATAATATCACGATAGGATTTTAGTGCAAGTTTATTTATATGAAGACAGTGATAATCACACTTGCCATTCTTGATATCGTTGCATTTAAATTTTGATTTAAAGCTTTCGTGATTGCAGTGATTCATATTCTTGGTTCTTTCGGTAAAGCCACGTTGAAGGGAAACATATTTTATTATTTTATTGTTTCCCTTCAACGTGACTTTACCGAAAGAACCAAGAATATGAATATCGTTGCATTTGTCCAAATATAATTACCCTAACATCCTTTAAATACATTCATTGCTTCATATAACATGGTTTTACTGAACAATGTAATGCATTTGTACGTGTAGACTTTTAAAACAAACATTCAACGGAAAACTTTGTGGCTGAACTATACTTTCGTTTCTTTTGAAACTGCCGATTGGAAAATTACCTTCGGACAACCGACCACTATTGAAGGGTAAGCGTCCAATGAAAGCCGAACGCGGCGTTTAAAATTCGATGGGCAAATCTCACTTGTGGCGGCGATCACGGCGAGCCCAAGCTCAGAGGGGTGGGTGCAAGCGCTCTCGGATTTCTGGTGGTTACCGAGTGCCGTGGCTCAGTGGTCTGTTGCTGGCTTGAGATGCAGCTCCCTTGGCGACTGTGTGAACTTGTGCCCGCCGCGCTGTGGGGACACCACAAAGCCCAGAAACTATCCGCCAGACTTAAAGAACCCTGACAGCTTAAGTGTTTTGTTATGCAAGGACACGTACATCTTGTGATATTTATGCCTAGGGCCCTGTGGTCACATCTGGCAGGGGCCAAAAAATGTTTGTATTTTGGCAGTGGCTGGCATTTGGAAAGAAATGCTTAAAACTTGATGCTTGAGTGGTAATCTCATGATGGATGGTAGCCTTTGCCAATAGGTAATAAGCCCGAGAATTCACTGCTGTAAAAGTTTTTTTAATTAATATTCGGTATTATTTTCTTGAGCACATTACAAATTGCTCCGAACGTTTAACGTTGTCTGAACAAAATCATAATAGTATCAAATTAACCAGGCTCGTCCGCAATGTGGTTTCGATCTTAAATTAAAAAAATTGCGGTAAACCATAAGCATCTAATTTGAGTCTTGAAGCATAATTGCCCACAACTGTTGAAATATTTAGATACTCACGTCTAATCTGTTACACATGCCACGGTTTATCTATATTGAGCATAATTGCGTATTAGCCACAAAATAAAGGCAAAGTCCGGACTTGAATGCAACACTTAATTTGCGTAAACAGTCCTCCCACCTCCAGAACAGCTATTGGCAAGCTTCCTTAATTGAATCCGGTTGTCGTACGCGGTGACTGCAGCCAGACAATTGTTCACTTGGCTACTTACAAGGCAATGAAGCGGCGGGATTATTCGCCATGGCCGTGTGATTATTTAGCACACAGCTGGAATTAGCGGTAGAATCCCCCATGACAAATAAACCTCGCTTCACCCGGGGCCAGAGTCGCCCTCCGTCGATTCGCTCTCGCACCTCTGGTGGCCGTCCAACGATAGCACCAGCTGGCTCGTGCACTTGACAGGCAAGCGCAATTACAAACACGGTGCACTCGTTTTGAACGTTGGCTGAGTCCGATGCGCGAGCTTGCCCGTCGTGTTTGAACGTCAAGGAGCTCTCTCGGAGGGCTCGCCGCCTGTCAATGGGAAGGTGCACTCCCCTTGTGTTGAGCCGTATCACATCGAATTTACGTGAGTGTGTGTGTGTACGTATGGACCTACCCGTCGACATCTCTCCGATCGATGCTTCCTACGCAATGTGCGTATGGATGTTGAACTTCTTTCGCGCCGTACGTAGCCAACCATGCTAATCTGGAAGACTTTGCTGTTTTTTCCCTGGATTTTTCTGTTTGCGCGTAGTCACTTTAAGATGTTTTCTTGTTCATGTTTTTGTTTGTTGCGGTTGCACCCGATTCAAGAGCCGAATGGCTCACAGGGCTATACCAAATAAATTAAACTGAAAAAGAAAATCGGAGCTGCGGGGGTAGGACAACAAACTAAACACTAAAAAGCAGTTCTAAAGAAAGAGTTTTTAATCGAGATTTAAAATTATCCTACCGCATCGTGTGCTCTCCGTCCCTCACCTCTACATCATCCCCTTCTATCTTGACTTAAAGCTTTCGTGAATGCAGGAATTCATATTCTTGGGTCTTCCGGTAAAGTCACGTAGATAGGTTCAAAGAAAATCTATCTACGTGACTTTACCAAAAGACCCAAGAATATCATCCCCTTCTTTCTCTCTTTGTTTTTCTCTGCCTCCGCTGCCTTTCTCTCTGCCTTCTCAAGATCCACTCACCTCTACCAGACACGGTGACCCCTCGGATCCCGGCTCTGTTTATCTATGTTCGCTTTGTTGAGCCTAAAGCAGTAACCTCTGTGTGTGTGTGTGTATATATATGTGTGGGGAGAAATAGTGTTGTGGTAGCGCGCTGCGCTACGAACCTGGCGACCCGGGTTCGATTCCCGCTCACGGCCAACACCCGTGACGATTATCTGAACCGGTCGTGGGCCTTTCCTAGGTCGACTCAGCCTCAAATTAGTACCTGGTGTGGTGTGTAAACATCGCCACTGGGGAGACAAAGGTGGCCGGGCGTGGTGTTGGCCACCCACTTCCACGTGTGCCGTGTTGGCCTTCATAGGTGCTCGCTAACAACACTTGCCCTACAGTCTGTTAAGGCTATACGGGGGATCTTTTTACATGTATATACATGTTTTTGTGAGACTTTACAAAACAAGCAAGTTTGCCATCCTCGGTGTTTAGCCCGGCGAGGGAGCACCCAGCATTTGATTGCTGTTGATGTATTGCTGCGTAGAACTGGCGCCTGTGGGGGAATTGGCAATTTCCAAATGTCAAAAACTTTCCACCTGCACGGGAGAGTTATTTAAGCTGCTGTTTAAACGAGCAGCTTGCACTGCCCTAAAACAATTAGGCTGATTAAAAAATATGAGAAATTCAATTAAATTGAGAATGAGCAAATGCGAGAGCCGATGCCTTGGCAGGAATAGACGCTCGGCTGCAATTTTGACTCACGAAATTGCCTTCTGGCCCAAAGTTTGTTAATACACAAATTTAAACAAATCAGAAATAACTAATCCGGCAGAATTTTGTTTTGTTTCAGCTAATGAACGGACTATTTGATTTTGACTCGTATTTTTCATTATAATGCGTCTTATAACTGTGCATTTTGTAATCATCCTTAATCATGTGCGTACAGTTAATATAAATACCTCTCGAATATTTGTCATTTTTCCCGAGACGCGGGATACTCGCTGGCATCGTATGACCCGTGTCTGGTTTATGTTAGGGAAAAAAAATTTAGTGAGAGAAAATTTCCACGTTTTAATGAAATACACTTTCGTATGACTCCACCTGGTGGACTTCCAGAATGCACAAGCGAGCCATGCACAACCCGTTTGCTTTGTGAAATCTCAGTGTAATCCCGTACTGTTTGCTTCGAGTCAGCCATGCTGATGGTGCCTCCCGATAAAGAAGTGTTTTATTTTCCACTGGAATCCACTTTAGATAATACGGCGGGGCATTACACCTGACAGAGAGTGGAGACTTTAGAGGTAGCGCAATTGGAGTGGAATGGTAAGGCAATGGACACATCGTAAGTTAATCCCTGTGCTCATTCAAGTGCATTCACAGATGGGGCTGTGCGTAAAGCCACCTTGGGACCTTACATTTAAAAAAGGCTGTCGAGTTGCAGGAAGCGAACGGTGACGCAGTGGTTGGTGAACCGCACTATTCATTTGGCCCACCTGAGTTTGATTTTCCGGCCACGGGTAATTCCGATGGCAAATATTATTGGAGGCTGGTAATTGATCTGGTCCTGTCCCCACCCTTCTCTGCCTCCCCTTCCTCGTCCCCCTTCCTGCACCTACACACACTGACAGCTTAGAGAAGTATGGTCATATAAACCTCATGATTGAGACAATCCATCAGTAGATTTCCAAATAGGTGAGGATAGGGTTTCCGTGACCAACTAGAAATAATAAGTGTCTAGGAGGTATTTTTCCCATCGTCAATCATAAACAAACACTGCCGAAAATGGCGGCTTTTGTTTTGTCTTATGCACGTTGTGCAGCTCTTGCTCAGATCGCTGATGCACGCGGGGGCCCCCCTTCCCCACACCAACCCGCGCTGGTCAGCGCTGGTCAGCGCGGGTTGGTGACATTTTGGGGAGCATAGGGGCACACTGCGGCGTTGGATTTCGCCGCGCTTTCCCTCTGCCGCCCACCGCACAGCCATGCAGCCTGTGTCACCTGTTACGCGTGCCGGTCACCCATCGTCCAAGCGCTATCCCGGCTCACCTCTTCTTATCTTCTGAGAACGGGCGCGCACAAGGCCTTTTTGGTCGCGTGCTATCGGTTGTAAGCTGCATTACACAACAAAGGTATACTTCGTGTATAATGAAATGTTGATCTTACAATCTATCGAGTTACGATTATTACCTTGATAAATGTTACGTTGCGGATGTGTTGCGACAGTGCGCGCGTGCGCGGACCCCGTCAGTGCCCCTCTCTTGCTTTCCAGGCGGTCACACCCGAGCACCTGCAGCCGATCGGCACGAAGCCGCCTGATGGCGCGGTGGCGACGTCCGCGGACGCGGCATCACGGCACAGCCGGGCGCAGGACAGCGGCATCGGCAGCGACAGTGCCGCGGCGCTGCTCGTCCACACGGAGCACCCTGCGTCGCTCGTACGTCACCGGCAGCAGCAGCAGCAGCAGCAGCAGCGCCTGCCCTGCGCGTCGCGCCAGTCGTCCACCGTCAAGAGCCGCAGCTTCGTCCCCTTCGACGTGTTCCTCACCGCCAGCAAGATCTCCGCTATGACCTACTCGGCGACGCCCGTCAAGGGCAGGTGCGCCGAGCCGTCGCCGGGCTCCCAGCCGAGGCCCCCGGCGCCTTGCGAGAGCGCGTCGAGCAGCGCGCCCGGCTCCGCGGCAGACGGCCGGCCGCCCGCCGAGGCCCAGGGCGGCGCGCGGCCGGCGCCGGAGGAGGCCGGGCCCTCGTCGACCGCCCCTCCGCCGTCGCGGAGCGGCTCGCAGGCCAGCCTCTACCCGGCGCGGCCGGACTCCAGCTGCGCGGGCCGCCGCCGCCGTGGACGACCTCCCGCCGACGGCTCCGCCGGCGCCGCCGCCGCCGCCGCCGCCGCCGTCTCCGCCGGCGCGCTTCGGCGGCCACACGGCGGCGCCGTGCACGGCCGCGGGGAGGTTCCTGCCGCCGGAGAGCCTGCGGGTGCCCGGCAGGTCGTCGGCGAGACAGGCCCTGGGACTCACGGTGGTGCGGCAGCCCGGGCGCAAGTCCGGAGATGGGTCGCAGCAGCTGGAGCCGTTCCTGTACGCGCTGGTGCACCAGCCGTCCGTGCTGCTCAGCTGTCACCGGCGCACGCAGAAGCTGGACTTCTCGTGCTTCGACGCCTGCGTCAAGGGGGCGGTGATCAACTACAAGTCGGGAGGTGACGTCGTTCGTTCCGTGTGCCGCTTCGTCCGTTTGTTTCCACCTTGTAAACCCCTCTCATTTAATCATGACGCAACACCCTTCATCCACTGTTGCGGAGGATTGTGTGTATCACGAATTAATAAATGATCAGAGAAGAGTATCTTTCTATGGAAATCTAAAATGCTATTTTATTGCAGCCTCGTTTAAAATTACATGATGCCAAAAATACTGACCCAGTAGGTGTGTTTTATTATTGGTTTGTTTTGTCTGCACTGAAACACCGTTCGTAACCAATATATCCTCATTTATAAAACATGTCAATATTATAAACGCAATGTCTTTTCGCACGCTCACTGTGCGTGCGAGCTAGCGAGCGAATGATTTAACTCTCGTACACGTCCACGACGCGCTCTGCACAGATCCTGGGAAGTCGCTGCCAGAGCCCCTGGACTACTCGGTGCCGTGGCTGCAGACCATGTGCGGAGAGACGGACGCGCGAACGGGCGTACCCCCGGGCCTCCTCTCCCTGCAAATACGAGACTTCCTCAACGAGCCGGGTGAGCCACGAGAGCCACTTGAGTCATGAGAGCCACGTGTGCCACGTCACTCACGTGAGCCACGTGGCACACGTGGCTCACGTGACTCACGTGAGTCACGTGAGTCACGTGAGTCACCAGAGTCACGTGAGTCATGAGAGCCACGTGTGCCACGTCACTCACGTGAGCCACGTGAGTCACCAGAGCCACGAGAGCCACGTGAGTCACCAGAGTCACGTGAGTCACGAGTGTCACGTGAGAAAATTTTAATTTGAAATTTGAAATTTTCTTGCTGTGGTTTTCACACCTGATGATGATTGCTTGTGTTGCATTCGAAACGTCGTGATAATTTGATTGTTTTATATTTTTATTATTTTATTGTTTCCCGTCTACGTGACTTTACCGAAATAACCAAGAATATGAATCCCTGCAGTCACGAAAGCTTTAAATCAAAAGAATAGCAGCTATTATTATTGTTTACACACCTAAAGTATCCACGGCGTACTGAAGCAGAGCAAGTGACCGAGCAAAAAGAAAACACAAAGCGAGCAGTAAACTTGCAAGGGACTGACCCTGGGACAGGCCACGGCGCATGGGGCGTGACTGAGTGAGACATTGACAATGTTTACAGCCTATGGTTCAAACCCCCAATTTGTTAATGAATTGCCCTTGGATGTCTATAAGCAAGCATTGTGTTTCGCCTTGTTAGTGCTGTAGTGGCAAACACGCCCATCCCTCCTCCGCCTGTCTCTCTCTCTCTCATTCTCTCACCCTGTCAACCCCTCCCTTCCTGCACTGTGAACTTAACAGCCTTCCCATAAACACAGCCTTTACCCTGTCTCCCGAGCAGCACAATTGCTGGAGCTTTAATCCAACATTTCAGCGCCAGATTTACATGCCTGTTGGGATTGCCCACCCGTCTGGCATACTGAGTAATCCATTACCAAGTCCTGTTGTGGGAGGGAAGTTCACTTACATGCAGTGGCATTTTAAGGTCTTGTTGCTTCTTGGTTTTCATATGAAGACGTTGGGGTCACGGTGCAGTAATCCCTTTTTAAGGATGCCCATTTAACAAGACGGAGGCTTTTCTGTGTGTGTGTGTGTGTTTTCTATTTGTGTATTTTTTGTGAAAGGCTAAACATTGCGTGCACATTTCATGAATAGTCCACAGAGCCTGTTGACGGAGCCATGGCGCAGTGGCCATGCACACCGCAGTGTGAATGTTGGTGAATTGGATATGCGGCCACGGCGTACACCAGTCACGAGTGATGTCTGAGCTTTTGGCCCCACCAATCAGACAAACATGGTGTCGGGAGGCCATCATCCAGCGGCGGATTGCCAAAGGGCTCTAAATTAATAATTTGGAAATTTATTAGCAATTGAGGTATAATGAATGATCAGGAGCATGATGGGGTTCAAGAAGCAAGGTTTCGTTTTTTTGTTTGGATGTAGCAACCACGTGTGGCTGCAGAGGTCGTGCGATCCCATGATATGTATGTTCGTACGTATGTTGAACTTCTTTTGCACCGCGCGTAGCCAACAGTGCTAATCGGAGGTACCACACATGAATCTAAAACATTGCTTTTCATGTGTGCGATTCAATGCCTGCATTGTGAGCGATCAGAATATCAATGGAAGAATCGATGGATCGTTGGACGTTTGATTGAAAATAAATAGAATTGTCGCAATTGCGTTGGCACATGGACACAGGCACGAGTGCGGTTGAGGTTGGCTGGATACGAGATTCGGTGGTGAATGGAAGCACAGACCGCAGTAGGATAACACAGGCAAGAGTGCACAAAGATTACCCATAATGACACTTGTTGAGAGACACCCCTATTTCAAGACAGCAGCTTCCTCCGGTATGGAGGTCTTCATTTACCCGTCTGGACCATTTATGTTTTACGACTCGCACAGTTTCCAGAGATAGACACGTGTTTATACACCGCACAAATCAAGGTGGAATGGTGTTACAGTACTGCATATATATTCAGAAGATCTGCATGCTCAAAGGCACAATTCAGAGAAGATTCATTCACATTGCAGACTTGTTAAATGTCTTGCTAAACACGCAGCATGCTCGCCTACGAATATTAATATGAATGCTCGTGGCATTTTTATTGCTAAATCTATTCGTTCTGTGATAATGGCAGTGACTTGAAATGCTGTAAACTGTTACAATTCATAATATACATTTCACACAAAATGTGATCATTATCAGACTGTTATTGTCCCATCGAGTGTATTAACACATATTTGTAAAGGTTTCAATATCGGTGTTACATTTAGGTCTCGTTTATCATTAATCTCAAAACTCTTCAGTTATTTTTTACCACTGCGGAGTGCACACCGGGCTAGAATACATTTTGCAGGCCGACTGGGGATTTATGAACCACACATAAATTACACTTTTGAACGTGCACGTAAAAAAAAAACAACCAAGAAATCCGTTATTGTTGTTTTAACTTTGAGTCTTGAGTTGGAGAAAACGTCCCGTAACCTCGTGTTTTTACACCCCATATTTTAATGGTTTACATTTGCACCATGCACATTTAGCTGCCATCACAGTCAGCTCACTTCAAAGGAAATCTGTCTGGTGTTGTAAAGCACTCCCAGCAGCGACAGCAGCAGCAGCAGCAGCAGCCATGGCACGATGTCGTTTGGTGGATTCTTGTTTTGCTTCCTCAGTAAAGAAGTCCTGTCATGCTTGATGGGAGGATTTCTCACTTACTTGGTCGTTTAAAGATTGAAGCTCTAAAGTGTTCTCTCACCACTTTTTTGTGTATTTAATTTGGACGCCCCCCCCCCCCCACAGCATTGGCAGATGGAGGAACTAAAACTCCCAATTCTAAAAACAACTTCTGATTCACTGAAGTGTACGGATCAATGCTCCAGTTTTCAAAACACAGATGATCACCAAATGTGAGCTTGTGCAGCATACTGTAAAGCGTTTGGCTTTGGGAGACATAAATACCATAGTTTGTTAAAACAGTGCCCATTTGACTGGAACGCCGTCTGTTTAAAGCAAATGCCTTGTCTGGGAAAAACGTCAAAACGGAAATTTTAAAACAATTCCAACCTTACGAGATGGTAATGATTGCACATTTCTCATTTTGCTTGTTTATGTGCGCACGCATCTGTACGCCTTCAAATCACTTCAGCGCATCTTTAGGATCAGTAATGAAAACCGAAACTGAGAATGGAAAAAAAAAAACTAAAATCTTGTAAAACATGAGGAGCGTTCTGATTGTGGATGCTGCCGTGCTGTAAATGGTTAGCACGCCGGACTTGCAATCCGGAGTTCGTTGGTCCGATCTCTCGGTGCGGCGGTTGAAACAACGGGGCAAGTTTCTTGAATCTTCTTGGCCTTTGTCCACTCTGCGGTATAAAATGTGTACACCGTAGTCGGTCAGCAGATCGCATGTGGTGAGGTTAAGTTTGGGGCAATCCAGCTGCTTCCACGATGCCAGGCCAGCGTGGATGAGTAGGCCAAATTATACTCGAGAGGGGCTCTCTCTAGACTCCCTCTCGTGGTTGCCCTTCCGCTAAACAAGCACTCACAGAGCTGTGCGTTACGTGACACCGGCAGTGGCTTGAAGCCGCGGCTGTACTTTTTTTTAAATAAATATACATTTATGAAAGTAGCTACATTGCAGCAGCTGCATGCGTTGCATACGAATTTGGATCGACTTCAAAATACATCTCACAGGGCGCCTCCCCAGCCAGCGGTCGTGGGGCTGCACCTTTACCTCTTGTTACCCCTCGACGTTGACTGTGCACCTGTGGTGGAACCTCCCCTCCCCTGCCCCGTGCGCAGCCAGCATTCACGTGGAGCTGGGCCGCCCGTGCAAGATCAGCCCCAGCCTCGGCAAGCTGGACCAGGTGGCCCGCTTCGTGGGCAAACTCTCGGCGTCGGAGCGGCCGGAAAGCGGCCGGAGCTCCGGGTCGACCGGCGAACTGCCGTCGGGAGGCCGGGAGCGGTGCGAGGACACGGCGGCTGCGGCAGGAACAGCAGCAGCAGCAGCAGGAGGAGGAGGAGGAGGGGACCGGCGGCGACGGCAGCTGCTGCTGGAGGTGCTGGCGCTCGTGGGCAGCGTGTCGCTGTCCACGTGCCAGGCAGTGGTGGCGGCCGAGTGCGTGCCGCACCCCGAGAGGCCGGCGCTCGGCGCGTCCGTCGCGGCGTTGTCGGCGAGGGTCGACGTGAGGAGCAGCGCCGCCGGTACGGTGGGCTGCGTCGGTCACCCCCCCCCCCCCCCCCCTCCGCGGTGGTGCCGGCCCTTTGTGGGTGGGGAAGAGGGGGGTTTGCCGTAAGCAGGAATTATTTTCGAAAGTAAGCGACATACAGTCCTCGTGACAACAATACAGACGTGGTGAGACGAATGGTGTCGACAAAATGGTTGAGGTGCAGTGAGATGAGAGAAGATGCACCACTGATGAAAGAAGACTGTAGTGAAATGAAACGGTTGTAAACAGAAGGTAGAGAGTCAGCTGAAAGAAGATAAATGCAGACAAGATGTAGATCAGATCTACGAATTGTATTTTAATGCGAATTAGATTATTGTTTATCACGTTTTCAATTTGCTGCACCACTTTTTCTAGTGCCGCCACTGTCTGCATCCTACCCCTCTGTTAAAAAGCCAAAGTGATTCCCTGCGTGAATGATTGAGGAGCAGTGATCATCTCCATTTACAGCTGCGGTGGCAAGATGTTAACTCCCTCGCCTGGTATACAGGAGGTCGTGGGTTTGACCCCAACCATGTTGCCTGAATATTTAGAGTGTGCACGTTCTCCCCCGTAGTCTCGTGGATTCATCTCTGGCTCTTCCGGTTTTCCCCTCCACAATTTGAAACACACATTGAGAGTATTTGGCCGCTATATAGCTCAGTGGGCCTTACATGGTACAATAAAAACAAAAGTTTAGTTAAGCTCTACACACTATGGGCAAACACTAATTTGTGACTTCCCGTGCCAAACACTGCATGGCGATGTGAGATTCGGATAAACCTTCCTGCTGGAACAGATTCTCTTTGCCATCCAGATATTCACTTTATCAACCCCCGGTATTTCATCATAATCAGTAGATCATCATAATCACGAGTAATGATCTGTCAACTGCTGGATGAAAAGCAACATACCAATGTGCCTACATAAGAACTTTTTTTTTGTGCGCACATTAACTGCAATGACATGGATCGGAATCGAGGTCACTGGCAAGCAAGTTGGAACAAAAGCTGAGCAGTGCAAAGAAGCGTGGAGGGAGCGCGTGCTAGGTAATTATTTTGGCAAATGCAAAGGAGAACACATGGATCAGAGAACAAGCCCAAATAGGAGATGTCATATTGATTGTCAATAAACGTAAGTATTCGATAGTCTTCAAAAAAACATCTCGGAAGTAATTGAAAACGTTGTAGCTTGAGCCAAGATATATGATTTGCCTTCGAGCATTAGGCCTTTGGCATTTTTTTAAGCCACTGTCATTTTAGGCTAAAAGGAATCCACAAAGCCATCTATCCGCTCACAGTCATTTATTTCTAAACACTGGCCAAGCTTCGATTTAAAGCTTTCGTGACTACAGGGATTCATCTTCTTTGTTCTTTCGGTAAAGTCACGTAGAATGGAAATGAAATAATAAAAAAGGATCTCAAGGTTATGTGGAATCCCTCCCCGTAGAGACGGTTAAATTTCGATGTAAAGCTTTCGTGACTGCAGGGATTCGTCTTATTGGTTCTTACGTGGCTTTACCGAAAGAACCAAGAAGATGAATCCCTGCATTTCACAAAAGCTTTAAATCGAAACTTAACCGCCTCTACGGGGAGGGATTCCACATAACCTTGAGATCCCTTTTTATGATTTTATTTCAATTCTACGTGACTTTACCGAAAGAACCAAGACTGGCCAAGCTGCTTGCCTAGAATTAGCACAAACTCTGAAACATTCACACCACACTTCATATCACTGCCTTATAAGAGAGTAAAACATATCATCACAGGTAGATGTTTGAGGCAGTGGCCCTTCGTCGGAGCAGAGAGATGATAGGGTCTAGAAGGGTTGACTGACTTATTGTGGTTAGAGCACTGTGGATGTGAGCAGAATCCTCATTGAAAAATTGTGCGTACTCTATTCAGTTGTTCTCAGTCAAGTGTTTTTGTTCAAAGAATCTGCGAATCCCAATACAAATCCCCTTTCATATGTAACGAGGCTTATTCATTGCACACGATTACTCCTGTGTATTCGAAACGAGCCTGCCTCACTGTGTCCAGGCAATGCAGTCCAGACGGACGCCGGTGGACACACGTCGCACGCAGCCCGTTACTTCTTTGTAAAAAGGATGAACATCGTTTTTTTTTGCGCATCTTGTAACTATTAAAGGTTCACATTAAAAACCGCCACACGTATCTACAGCCTATAGAGTTCATATGGAGTTGCCATTTTCTTTATAAATAAATTTCCGCAGATGTGGCGGGCGGACGGGCGGGTGGGCGGGTGGTGGTGTGTGGGATTCTCCGGGGTGAAGCACATTCGCTGAAATATCTTCGTAGTAATTTTTCCACTGAAGTCCGCTTTTTAAGCACCCAATTCATATATCAGAGCTTTTACGGTTTTTTTTGTTGTTGTTGCTGTACCTCTGGACCGTTAATACGGCCATTGCCTTACGGGCTGTGCATTTTAGCATTGGCCTGGCCTTGCCAGCTGGTCCCATCGCCGATTTATATCAGTCGACTGGGAGGCTCACTGCAAAACACAAAGTTGTTTCCTGCTCGTCCCGGCTCCACATGTGCGGGACATCACGACCCGGAGTCTCAAGCCAAACGTGGAGCTCTTGATCTTTAAGTGAGCCATATAAGACGAGCCCCACAATCTGACCGCATCAAGAAGGAAGAGTGGATAATTAACGCCGCACTTCTTGCGAGCGGCGTTAAAAGGCCATCTTTCGAGACAGGTTGCCTCCCAAAAACGCCTGACCGCCGGAATTCCCGATGCGCGCTTGCTGCGGCATCAAGTGCCGCATGAGCGATGCGTTTGATGGCGTGCCAGTCCACGGGGCTTATTAAGCACATGGTTTCAGGGCGACCGTTGTAAATGAACAAGGATCCAGTGTGGTTGCATTGCTGCTTGAGCCAAGGAATCCTCTTTGCGAGCTCTCTGAGGATGAAGGGAGTTTTACATTCTGCTCTTTTGTTTGTTGTCGATGGCACGTGCGCTTTTTTTGGAGGGGTGGCGGGAGGGGTGGTTTGGTGGAGTCCTTGTTCAGAAAAGCATGAACTCTTTAAGGGGCTCGCATTCTTTTCAAGCATTGAAAATGGCTCTCAGATACCGTAAGAATGGCGTACGGGGCCTTATGAAAACATCTGTAAATCCTTTGCGAGGAAAATCCCGGTGGAAAAGGACATGTGTCATCCACAGCCACTGGGCCCAGCCAACCGTTTTTATTGCTTCGACACAACGTATTAGGTTGACGCAAATCGTACGCGTGAAAAAAAAAAACATTCTAAACAGGCTGCCGCAAAACGGATCACTCGCCTCGACGATTAATCTCTGTCGGTGACTCATATCAGAAACACAAGATATGCATTTATTATAATGAGAGCCAAGCCTTAACCTCGGCGTTATAAGGGGAGTAACTGCAGAAATTCCCAGTTCCCTTGCAGCAGAGGCTGATTATTTTAATAGCTTTCATGGTGCTGTTGGCTGCAGACATGCCATGGGCTTGAACTTGGGCTGAACCCCGGCAATGTTTCACGCTAATGCCCGTGATAGAGATTCTGGAAGTGTGAAACTGTGGCGCCCTGCCATCCATCAACCTCCGACCCAAGAATTCAGCTGTTAGGAATAGTGCGTAGCCAGGAGTCGTTAGTGGCAACACCTGCTTTGTAATAAAATCCCTCTGCTTTCGTGGATTGGGAATTCGGGGGACTTTGGTGAACTACTTAATCAATGTCTTTGTTCATTGCACCTCCGCCGCCCTCCCCCCAAACTATCAGAAGGAACACATCAGAATTAATGGCATCTGAATCTGTGTAATGGTTAATTTGAGGTAATAAATTAGCTAGAAGTTTACAATTGAGTGTACGGTGAAGAGCACCGTGTGAGAGAAACCCCGTTTTTCGGTGTAACTTTGTTTTTCTCTAATGATAACCAACTGGCAAAGCAAAGCGTGACATCAGCCATTGGCAGTGAGAACGCTCGATGCGGCATTCCGTTCCTGCATATTTTTGTTTAGTGAAACAACAAAAAAAGGCAGGAAATTTTAACTGACACCAAGGAAATGCTATCTGCCAAAGTGAGTGTTGCCTTATGTGTCTTGTTAGCTTTAAGTATAAAATTATCCCTTTGAAACGGGGGTCAGCGGTGTGGCCCTCTCTCTCTCTCTCGAGGAGGAGGAGGAGGAGGAAGAGGAGGAGGACATTTCTCTGGCGATCACCGACGTCGAACTTACGTTGGTGACATTGCCCAGCAGCGGCAGCAGCAGTAGCAGCAGCGCATTGCCGCTTGAAGCAGAAGTTTTACCTTCTCGCCAAGCAGGCGCCCAGCTTCATACTGCGCGGGTGTATTAACCATAAAAGATGTTTCGTTGCAATCACAGCGGACGTTTAAGAGCACATAACCTTATTCCAAACAGGGGTAGGCCATGCGTACCGGCATCATCTGTCAACAGTTGATACATTCCTTGCAAATCGCATCATTGTAAAAGTCAGAATCAGAATATTTATTTATGCTGGAGGTATCCAGTGAGCTATAAAGTTATTCTTTCACAGATGCCCAGGACGGGCGGGTCAGTCAGAGCGTTACGACAACAAACAATGCAAATATACGATGGGAGTGTAAAGTACAGGAAAGGTGAGTCAGTCACAAAAAAATATACCAAATAAAACTAAACTGAGCTATTAGCTTCTTTTTCAGAAGCGACCTTCTTGCAAATGATAACTCAACGAAGTGTGGTACTGATACATAAGTGATGATGATGATGACGAGGATGGTAAGGCTTTGGGGCATGACACATCGCGGGAAGCGTTGATGTCTCATGGTCGAAGAATAACAATTATGGAGTGCCGGCCAAAGAATGGAACGCGTCCGATAGTAGTTACGACCACCGAGGAGACGGAGCTATGAAATTAATGCGCACTGTGCAGGTTCTCGATGAATTATCACTCCGCAGGATTGCGAGAGGTGGTGACAGCTTCGGGGAGGACTCCGTCCATCACTCAGTTGATCATGGCTGCTGCTGCTGATGATGATGATGGGGCGCCCCATAGTGGCCAAATGTTAACTCCCTTGCCTGGTATGCAGGAGGTCGTGGCCTTGATTCCAACCCTGTGACGCCTGTATAATTTGGAGTTTGCCTGTTCTCCCCGTGGTCGCGTGGATTTTTCTCCGGGTCCTCCGGTTTTTCCCTCCACGTTTATAATCGACACGCGTTTAGAGTATTCGGCTGCTATAAATTTCCACGTGACGAGCCGCTTCGTTGAGCTATCACTCGTGGCCAGGCCGCTCCTGAAAAAGAGCTAACGGCTCAGTGGGCCTTACCCGGTATAATAAATGGACGAGCCCTTGCAGTTGTCGTCGGGCCTTCCGCCGCACGTGCTGTGACTCGTCCCCCGCGGACTCGTCCTCGCCGCAGGCTCGCTGCAGTCGCTGTCCGCCGAGGTGCGGCTCACGGACGCGCTGCTCAAGACCGGCCTGCGTGACTGCTCTCGCTCGCTGCTCGGCCCGTTCTGCGGCAGCGTCCGCGCCGACGCCAAGTGGTGCGGCCACAGCGGCGCCTCGGAGGTGCTCCCCAAGCTGCTGCTCTACGTCGACCTGGGCCTCGTGCAGGTGAGAGCGTCCCCCAACACCACTGGCTGCGGTGCTGACCCGCTGAGGGGGGAGGGGGGGGGGGTACCCTGGCACCCTGGCACCCTAAGACAGACATAGGCTTCAATTTGCCGAACGAATACGTTATAAGATCGCGCCCATCACGCGCAAAGCGCTTGCCGCAAATGAACCACGGTGACCTTGCTGATCTCGTCAAGGAGCGTAAGCCATCACGTGAACTCCGGTCTTTCTCGCAGCAGCGGCTTCTGGCTGGCCATCGAAAAAAGGCGGTCGCCGCATCGCGCGCTTTCAGATGCGCTTCTGCGGCCGTCTGGAAGCGCTCTTCCTTCTGATATGAAGAAGCCACTGGAGCCGTGCACTTTAAAATAATCTCTATTGACAACTCATTTCTTTAGAAATGAGTTTTTTATGTTCAGTTTGTTGTCCTTCCGCCACGCCTCCGATTAGCATGGCTGGCTAATACGGTGCGAAATAATTTCAGCATACATACATTGATTTCTGGGCACCCTTTTATGATTGTGGGTAAAGTTACAGCCAACATATATAGGTCTAGTAACAGAAATAGAAACAAAATATTTAGAGGGATGTAACGTGATCAGGATTGAGATAAATGCTCGTTGGTTTTCTCTTCATCTTTTGTCATGGTTTGATTCGCCTCGGCTATTTTCATGAATTGTGGCCCCCGAGGCCTTTGCTTGGTTTCGCTGTCCGCCGACACTTGCCTTGGACAGCCGGCTCTCGCTGGTGCTTTTCCTGAGCGGAGATCTGCTGGTCCCGGGGACCAAATAACTCGTTCAGTGGTGGAGTGAGCAGGCGTAGACGCAGCCCGTGCCGTGCACGGCGCGGTGCGAGTTGAATGTAGTCGCTGCTGATCTTCTCATTCCTTCAAGCCTTTTGTCTCAACCGCAGACATTGGAGGTCTCCCCTTGTTCAAGAAGGACGAACCCCAAACGTAATTCAGTTTAACACGTCGGCTTATACTGGTAGGAACCTCCTTGTTCCACCAGCCCACAGGGGATTATTGTGTCCGTCCGTCGTGCATCCAAAAATGGGAGGGGTGGGGCTGGGTGGAGAGGGGAGGGTGAGGAGGGGCTGGGTGGGGAGGAAGGGGCTGGGTGGGGAGGGGAGGGTGGGGAGAGGCTGGGTGGGGAGGGTGGGGCTGGGTGGGGAGGGGAGGGTGGGGAGGGGCTGGGTGGGGAGGGTGGGGAGGAGCTGGGTGGGGAGGGGCTGGGTCGGGAGGTTGGGAGTGGGAGGGGTGGGGCTGGGTGGGGAGGGGCTGGTCACCCCGTGGTGCCCTTATAAAACTCAACGTTTAACCTACTCACGCCGGCTTGTGCCCGCCCTCACAGTCGGGCATATTTGCGGAATAGACCACGCCGCCGTTGAAATCACCCTGTAGCTTGGCAATCACGTCATCCGGAGAGCGGCCAGCAGTAATCAGTATCGTGTCATCTGCAAAAAGATTTACCCTAGAATGATCCAGGTCAGTGCCCAAGTCATTGACATAAAGAGAGAACAAAAGGGGGCTGAGGATGGGACCCTGTGGAACCCCTTTGTTATCTTAACACTGTTTGACCTCCAACCATCTGTGAATACGGTTTGGGTGCGAGAAAAGAGGTAATTTTGTAACCATTTTACTGCGTTTTCGGAAAAACCGAGGCAATTTAGTTTACTAAGCAGGGTGTTGTGGTCTACTGTATCAAGAGCTTTGGACAGGTCAAGAAAAAGACAGGCACAGTACTGCTTATTATCAATGCTACTATAAATGTGTTCAGAGAGTCTAATGCAGCAGATGTGCTATATTTTTTTCGGAGTCAAGATTGTTTTAGATGTAGTAGATTGTTGATGGACAGGAAACTGCTAATTTGGTAGTTCAGTAATTTATAAAAAAAAAATTCATCAACGGGGACAAAATTGAGATAGGTCAGTAGTAGTGATTTGTATCATCTTTAGGGCCCCCTTTGTGAAGTGGACGGACATAGGAATGTTTCCATTCTAGAGAAACTGATGCTTCTTTGATGGACAGGTTGAAAATATGGGCTATAGGTTTGTATATTAGGTGACCAACAGTTTGTAGAGCAAAGACGGGAATACTATCTGCTCCGGTATAGGAGGACCCTTTGAGGTAGGACAGTTGTTTCAGAACATTACTTTCGTGGATTGGCTGGAAACTAAATTCGTTTAATGTTTGGACAGGGGTGTAGGAATTTGCATGAGCAGGGGTGACTCCCAATACATTATCAAAAAGATTACCAGCTTCAGAAAAATGAAGGTTAAAATTGTCAACTATTTTTTTGGGATCTGAAAAATATTCCCCATTTCGGTTAAGCTTAACGGGCAGATTGTCTGTTTTGGATGCCTTTTCGATAAATTTGATTGTTTTCCAGAAAATCCTGGCATTTCCATGTGATTCCAGGAGAGTGGAGGAAAAGTAGGCATTTTTTGCATGCCGTATTCTTTTGACGCATCTATTCCTTAAAATTCTGTTTTCTAGCCAGTCATTGACAAAATTACTTTTCTGAGCAAATGCCCAAGCCTTGTCCCTAGTTTTCATTAGCTTTGTAATCAAAGGATCAAATCATGGTGGACGGTTGCCTTTAGTTTTAAATCTAACCAACGGAGCACGTTTGTTAAGAATTTGGAGAAACGTTTACCTGAAGGTCTCCCAAGCCATAGTCAGGTTGGGGATATCCGAGTGAAGCACATCATTAGTAAATGCCTGACTGCTGAAGTGCCTCATAGAGTGCTTCTCAACCAATTTAGGGGGGGCTTTGGGTCTGGCTGATGATCTCACCCGAAAAATGAAGGAGTGATCACTAAGGTTATTACCCAGAACACCAGTCAGTGTGAAATTGTGAGGGGCATTTGTCAATAGGACGTCAAACAGAGATGACTGTCCCGGATATTTTAGGTTGGGTCTTGTGGGGACATTTATTAATTGAAATACTAAAACTATTGCACCTTTAGGGAGGCCCCCAAAAAGCTCTCTCAGTGCAGATGCAGCTTCAACATCCTTCCCACTTAGACGGTCTATGCAAGAATGGGTTTACTGAACCGTTGTCTTGTAGATCAGCTCCTGAGGTTGCTCGTTCTCTGCAGTCCGAATTGAGTTGTTCGTAGCAGAAAAAGAGACTTTAAAGCGACACGGACGTCGAGGTGAAACATTTGGCAGTGCTGTGTTGGTGCTACTGAGTGCTGTGTTGGTGCTACTGAGTGTTATGTTGGTGTTACTGAGTGCTATGTTGGTGTTACTGAGTGCTGTGTGGGTGCTACTGAGTGCTATGTTGGTGATACTGAATGCTATGTTGGTGCTACTGAGTGCTATGTTGGTGTTACTGAGTGCTGTGTGGGTGATACTGAGTGCTATGTTGGTGTTACTGAGTGCTGTGTGGGTGATACTGAATGCTAGGTGGGTGATACTGAGTGCTATGTTGGTATTACTGAGTGCTGTGTTGGTGTTACTGAGTGCTGTGTGGGTGATACTGAGTGCTATGTTGGTGTTACTGAGTGCTGTGTTGGTGCTACTGAGTGCTATGTGGGTGATACTGAGTGCTATGTTGGTGATACTGAGTGCTATGTGGGTGATACTGAGTGCTATGTTGGTATTACTGAGTGCTGTGTTGGGGATACTGAGTGCTATGTTGGTGTTACTGAGTGCTGTGTTGGTGCTACTGAGTGCTATGTTGGTGTTACTGAGTGCTGTGTTGGTGCTACTGAGTGCTATGTTGGTGTTACTGAGTGCTGTGTTGGTGATACTGAGTGCTATGTTGGTGTTACTGAGTGCTGGTGATACTGAGTGCTATGTTGGTGTTACTGAGTGCTATGTGGGTGATACTGAGTGCTATGTGGGTGATACTGAATGCTATGTTGGTGTTACTGTGTGCTATGTGGGTGATACTGAGTGCTATGTGGGTGATACTGAGTGCTATGTGGGTGATACTGAGTGCTATTTTGGTGTTACTGAGTGCTGTGTTGGTGATACTGAGTGCTATGTTGGTGTTACTGAGTGCTATGTGGGTGATACTAAGGGCTATGTTGGTGTTACTGAGTGCTATGTGGTGTTACTGAGTGCTGTGTGGGTGATACTGAGTGCTATGTGGGTGATACTGAGTGCTATGTTGGTGTTACTGAGTGCTATGTGGGTGATACTAAGGGCTATGTTGGTGTTACTGAGTGCTATGTGGTGTTACTGAGTGCTGTGTGGGTGATACTGAGTGCTATGTGGGTGATACTGAGTGCTATGTTGGTGTTACTGTGTGCTATGTTGGTGTTACTGAGTGCTATGTGGGTGATACTAAGGGCTATGTTGGTGTTACTGAGTGCTATGTGGTGTTACTGAGTGCTGTGTGGGTGATACTGAGTGCTATGTGGGTGATACTGAGTGCTATGTTGGTGTTATTGTGTGCTATGTGGTGATACTGAGTGCTATGTTGGTGTTACTGAGTGCTGTGTGGGTGATACTGAGTGCTATGTTGGTGTTACTGAGTGCTGTGTGGGTGATACTGAGTGCTATGTTGGTGATACTGAGTGCTGTGTTGGTGATACTGAATGCTAGGTGGGTGATACTGAGTGCTGTGTTGGTGATCCTGAGTGCTATGTTGGTGTTACTGAGTGCTGTGTTGGTGATACTGAGTGATATGTTGGTGTTACTGAGTGCTGTGTTGGTGCTACTGAGTGCTATGTTGGTGTTACTGAGTGCTGTGTGGGTGATACTGAGTGATATGTTGGTGTTTCTGAGTGCTGTGTTGGTGATACTGAGTGCTATGTTGGTGTTACTGAGTGCTGTGTTGGTGATACTGAATGCTATGTGGGTGATACTGAGTGCTGTGTTGGTGATACTGAGTGCTATGTGGGTGATACTGAGTGCTATGTGGGTGATACTGAGTGCTGTGTGGGTGATACTGAGTGCTATGTGGGTGATACTGAGTGCTATTTGGGTGATACTGAGTGCTATGTTGGTGTTACTGAGTGCTGTGTGGGTGATACTGAGTGCTATGTTGGTGATACTGAGTGCTGTGTTGGTGATACTGAATGCTAGGTGGGTGATACTGAGTGCTGTGTTGGTGATACTGAGTGCTGTGTTGGTGATACTGAATGCTATGTGGGTGATACTGAGTGCTATGTGGCTGATACTGAGTGCTGTGTGGGTGATACTGAGTGCTATGTGGGTGATACTGAGTGCTATTTGGGTGATACTGAGTGCTATGTTGGTGTTACTGAGTGCTGTGTTGGTGATACTGAGTGCTATGTTGGTGTTACTGAGTGATATGTGGGTGATAATAAGGGCTATGTTGGTGTTACTGAGTGCTATGTGGTGTTACTGAGTGCTGTGTGGGTGATACTGAGTGCTATGTGGGTGATACTGAGTGCTATGTTGGTGTTACTGAGTGCTATGTTGGTGTTACTGTGTGCTATGTGGTGATACTGAGTGCTATGTTGGTGTTACTGAGTGCTGTGTGGGTGATACTGAGTGCTATGTGGGTGATACTGAGTGATATGTGGGTGGTACTGAGTGCTGTGTTGGTGATACTGAGTGCTGTGTTGGTGATACTGAGTGCTGTGTTGGTGATACTGAATGCTATGTGGGTGATACTGAGTGCTGTGTTGGTGATACTGAGTGCTATGTTGGAGGGGGAGCGATAGTGTCGCGGTGAGCGCGCTGCGCTATGAACCTGGCGACCCGGGTTCGATTCCCGTTCACGGCCAACACTGGTGATGATTATCTGAACCGGTCCCGGGCCTCCCCTAGGTCGACTCTGCCTCAAATGAGTACCTGGTGCGGTGTGTAATCATCGCCACTAGGGAGACAAAGGCAGTCGGGCGTGGTGATGGACACCCCCCCCCCCTCACGTGTACCGTTCCGGCCTTCATAGGTGCTCGCTAACAGCACTTGCCCCGACAGTCGTTTAAGCCTACACGGGGGATCTTTGTCTTTATGTTGGTGCTACGGGGTGCTCTCTTGGTGCTGCTGAAACTCTCTTTAAAAAGTTTCCTTTCAGCACCTGCCGATGCCTCCTTGTTTATAGGACTTATTTTCACAAGTGTGTCTAATGGTGCTTTTCGCTGGTGGCCGCCTGACAAACCGTGGAGTGAAACGGGCACGTGATGGTTACATTTCAAATTAGCGGACGACCTTTGACCCAAATGAACGTGCGATGAGCATCTGGGAGGAGCGGCGCAGGAGACGCCAGTCGATATTTGCGGAGCAAAAATGCCCCTTCACCACCGCGTGATGGTCGAGATAGGTTCGGGACATCTGGTTGTGCTTTTGGAGCCAACTTCAAACGCTGCACATAAAACAGAATTCGCGATGACGATTTTAACGTTTTTCTTTTTTAATGGGACACAAGTAAGGCAAAGGTAATGAATCAAATAGAACGTAGGCTTCCTGTAAATGAAAAATTAAACTGCGAGCTGCACACACGCATGCATACGCACATTTTTTTTGCTTTATACTGACAGCAGGACTCTAATTATAGACGTTAGAGCTGGAGCAATATTCATGAATTTCCTCTATTCAACTTGCAAGATGTATTGCGTCCGCTAGGGGTTCTTACCTGCGTGTACATAGTTTAAAACATGTGGCATGTTCACAGCGGGAGCAGCCGTAGTTAGAGCATTGCGCTATAAGCCCCAGCGACCTGAGGTTTGATTCCCAGGCCATGGATAACATTAGCGGTGAATGATGTGTAATCCAGTCCTCGGCGGTATTACCTTCGCCAAACAGAACCGACCAACGTGGTGAAGTATGGTCAAACAACGTCCATAATCGATCAGTTTGTAGGGGCCTTCATCTCGTAGCGGAATGATCAAAGGCTGTAAATAATGCATCGTATGCACAGCGAATGCGCCAAAAGAGATGTCACATCAAGTCCGAGTGTCTCTCTTCTCAAACGAACAAATGCGCGCCTCCATCGATGGTCCTGAGCCTACGGTGGAAATTCCACATTCTCACGGCAGAAGGCCGTTTTCTTCAGAAGCAACCACAGTTTACTTCTTGCAAGGATAGCATTGGGCGAGGTGCGTGCGAATGCGTGGCCCCTCCAAAGGTATTCGAAAGCCCTATTTGGTCGTCGGTGAGAATAAACTACTAACTAAACTGTTTTTATTTTATTTTTCCCGGTTAAGGCTCATTGAGCTACGTAGCTCTTTTTCAGAAGCGACCTGGCCACAAATGAAAGCTCAGCGAAGAGGCTTATCGCGTGTAAATTTATAGCAGCCAAATACTCAGAACGCATTTTGATTCTAAATCTGGAGGAAAAAACCGGAGGACGCGGAGAAAAATCTACGTGACCACCTGGAGATAGACATGCAAACTCCAGATATACAGGCGTTCGGGCTGGGATCGAACGCCCTGTATACCAGGCGAAGCATTTAACATCTTACCACCGTGGTTCTCACTCCCTGGGTTTAAAAACACAGATGCACCAGTGCACCAGTAACGCTGAGCCGGTGTGTGTATGCGTGTGCGCGGCTCCGCGCGGTAGCGTAAGAGTTAGCGCGTCGCACTACGAACCCAGCGACCCGAGTTTGATTCCCGCTCACGGCCAACACCATGGACGATTATCTGAACCAGTCCTGGGCGTCCCCTAAATCGGCTCAGCCTCAAATGAGAGTGTACCCGGTGCGGTGTGTAATTATAGCCACTGGGAGAGAAAGGCGGTTCGGGGCGTGGTGCTGTCCACCTCACCCCGTCGTGAACCGGCCTTCATAGATGCTTGTCAACAGCGTTTGCCTCCCACAGAACCTTATCGAGGCTGTACGGGGTGGGGGCTGTAAATCCTTGCCTCTGTTGCTCCGCGCAAGGTGTTCTGGGGCCAGGACCACGTGCGCTGCCTCACGCTGCTGCAGCAGCTGCTGGCGTCGCACCGGGGGCTGCCGGGAGGGCCGGCGCAGCATCGTGCCGTCGCCTCGGCCGCCCACGCCGAGGAGCGCCGTGCCAGGCGCTGCACCGCCGAGCACAGCGCCGACGACTTGCGCACCGGCCTCTTCCATTACATCCCCGACGCAGGTGGACGGGCCCGCCGGCTCCCCCTCCCCTTCCTCCCACGGCAATGGATCGCTTCACGTTGACTGCGCGTCTTTGCACAGCGGCAGTGTTAACGGGTGCACCGCAATGAACCCTTTCCCGTTTTGATGACGTACGTGTGCGTCCGTTTACGTCGTAAGTTTTACTTCCGACATTACATTCCGATGACTTACATGTGCAATGACGTACATGCATGTCATCGTTTTTTTTCTTCTTCCGATTCCGTTCCGATGATGTATGATGACGTACATGAACGATGACGTCCATGTACATTATCACAAATGAAACCGGAAGAAAAAAATAAAGTAACGTCGTCAGTACCGAGGCTTCCACAAGGCTGAGCTATCATAGAGTGCGGTCGTGTCGCTACAGTTCTCCGCGGTGATTACAGTGTCTTTAAAAACAACAGCGTTACGCCTCTCTAAATAATATTAACGCTGAGCCGGTTGTGCGTTTCTCAGATTCAGAGGTGAACGGGACCCGCACCCTGCAACTTGCAGATGTCTCAGAATGGGAAAGGGTTAATCAGTTGGTAGGCTAGGTTGCTTATTGGGTACAATGTGGGTAATCGCCGCGTTTTTCAAGACATCTCACCCAGCGTGCAAGAGTAGGCCAGAGAGGCGACAGTAAGCAATTGCAGGGTTGAGCCTCTACCTCTATACACGTGGAAGCAGCGTGTCAATTAAAATGTATTAGAATGCTCACGGCACATATATGATATCACATGTGTTTAGAATTTGCGATTTTTTTATTCGTGTAAACTTTAATGTGAATCCTTCCTATGGGGCAGGAGCCAAAACTGAAAATCCACTGGGTAGGTTTTTGCGGTTGCGCTGGACAGCTGTTCGATAGGTTTTCATGTTCTACAGCGCGTCGTTTGGCACGATGTCTGGCATTTAACTCCACGTGTGTGGAAATTTGTCAGAAACTGAAAGAGATGTAGCAGTCTCTCGGGCCGTTTTTTTGTGCCATTATCAAGACGATGGAAAAAAGAAGAGGCTTTACCCGTACCGCCAATAATACGGTGTTGAGGATATGACTGCTCAACCTGAGCTCTTCATGCTTTGACATTTGCATTGCTTTTGTGCTGTTTGCCTTTCGGCGTTCCCTGTTCTAACGCTGGTGGTGAGACAAAGCGATGAAGGAGGCTGTATCCGGTGTAAGCCAATCAGTTCCGAGGACATTGCATACATTATTATCAAAGCTTGTTGGTTTGCATGTTTTACCACAAGCATAATGTGTGGTCAATGCAGACTCGATGCCTCGCAATCGATGTCCATTTGGCGTTTGAACATCTTTACACCTCCTGTATCATTGCCGCGAAGGATAAAGCCTATTCTTTTTCCATCATACATCAGGGCACGATGTTGTACGTCACGTACGTACGCTGGACTTACTTTCGCACCGTGCGCAGCCAACCGTGCCATGCGGCGGGCACGAGAGAAGCGTTCGTATTGGCTACGGTGCGATAAAGGTTCAACGCACGTACCAACACACGGCGCCCCCTGTTGGGCCCCCGTCGCGCGCAGAGAGTCAGAAGCTGCTGCCGAACGTGCAGGAGGTCGTCTTCTACAACGAGACGGAGGACAGCGCCGGCGCGATGTTGTGGCGCTACCCGGAGCCGCGCGTGCTGACGCGCGTGCGCATCGCTCCGGTGCCGTTCAACACCACCGAGGACCCCGACATCAGCACCGCTGACCTCGGCGACGTTCTGCAGGCAACTTATACTCAAACTAAACTGTGAACTATGTTTTATCGCGCCAGGTGAGCCCCCCCCCCACACTGAGCTATGAAGCTCTTTTTCAGAATGGACCTGGCCGCAAAATGGTAGCTCGACGAAGTGGCTTATCGCGTGGGAATTTCTAGCGGCCAAATACTCGACACGTGTGTTTTCTAAATGTGAAGGGAAGGACCGGAGGACCCGGAGAAAGATCCACGCGACCACGGGGAGAACACGCAAACTCCAAATATCCAGGCGTCATGGTCGGGATCGAACCCAATAACCTCCTGTATACCAGGCGAGGTAGTTACCATCTCGCCACCGTGGCATGAATCACAATTAATTTCTGAGTTGGGCCACGTAAAGATGTGGCCAAATGCGCATCCGTGTCCTCCGTTAGCAACACGCTGTGGCCGACCGGTCTCCGATGTTGTTTTCAGGTTGTGCCGTGTGTCGTACGGCATCGTGGCTCACGTCTGGGAGCTTTTTCAGGAAGCCATACTCCCAACACGCAGTACAACCCCAATACATGCCGCTCGCTGTTCACCATTAGTCTTGATTACTCGCCCGCCCAAGCCAACTTCCTTTGCTTAAAATCAATGTGACGTCTTTAGCTTGAGTGTGTTATTCGAGCCACGTGTTCGCCTTTGTCTCTCAGTGTAATTCACAGCACGCATCTGACCATGCGTCTCTCTGCACTTGTCACCATTCGCTCCGTTTTCTGATCCGTAAGTCATAATGCCTATGACCAAATCAAATATGCCCGATCCCATCAAATCTCACAGCTAAGCAGGATTTGGCCTAGATAGTGACTTGGATGGGCGACGGCCGTGCATGTAACAGATGCTACAGGCTGCTGTGGAGCTCATTCAGTGGGGTGCAGTGCAGCAAAATCTATTGATTAACTGTACTATGTTCCCAATCTATGCACCCCACATTCACCAAACCACACTGACCAGCGAGTGTAGTCAAATAACCCCCTCAACCTACGTGGCGAGGGGAGGCTGTGCGTGGGCCTTTTATGGCAGGTAACATATACCCATACAATGGTTATACTTCGGGCGCATTGGAAAACTACAAGTGATTTCTGAGTTGGGGCCACGTAAAGATCTAGCCAAATCCTTTTTTTATCGCCAAACCTTTTGCCGTCCGACAGAGCCGATCAAATGAAATCGTCAAGGGCACACTCGTTTTACCGTGCCAGTTATTGTCGTTCTGAGCTCGCCGGTAAGTTGGAAAACAATTCCCACGACGAAATGTAACAGTCTACATTATCACGGGCTTGGCGATCCCCTTCATGCTACCCTCAAGTCACTTCCGCCTCACGAGCTGCGTCGCTGCTGCCGCTGCCGCTACCGCCGCTGCCGCTATTGCTGCCGCGTGGACCCCAGGTGCCGTGCTCGCTGGAGTACTACGACGAGCTGAAGATGGCGTTTGTCCGTTACCGGGACTTCAGCCTGTCGGAGAGCCGCGCCTGCGAGCTGCCGCTGCCCAGCCCCGAGCTGGCCGAGGAGCAGGGCGAGGTGGTGGCGGCCGACATGTGGAGGGTGGTGCTGCACAACGGGCAGGACACGCCCGAAGAGCAGAGGTGACGACGCGAGACCGTTTTTTTGCTGGTCCGCCGTGCGTGCGTGCGTGTGTTTCAGTCGGACGAGGGGCCGGTTGTCATGAATCCGCCCGCTTGCAGCCCCTCTCGTTGTAAATGATGGTGCGCACGTTTGTATGTGTGTGTGTGAATGTATGTTGTGGGGAGCGGTAGTGTAGCGGTTAGCGCGCTGCGCTATGAACCCGGCGACACGGGTTCGATTCTCGCTCACGGCCAACACCAGTGACGATTATCTGAACCGGTCCCGGGCCTCCCCTAGGTCGACTCAGCCGCAAATGAGTAACTGGTGCGATGTGTAAACACCGTCACTAGAGAGACAAAGGCGGCCGGGCGTGGTGCTGGCCACCCACCCCCTCGTGTGCCGTGCCGGCCTTCATAATTGCTCGCTAACAGCACTTGCCCCAACAGTCTGCTAAGGCTACACGGGGGATCTTTGTTTGATCTTTGTATATTGAACTTCGTTTGCACCTTACGTAGCCAACCGTGAGAATCGGATGTGTGGCTGCAACCCTTGTAATGACTGTGTATCACAGCAGGTAATGACTGTGTATCACAGCAGGTAAAGGTGCAGCCCTGAAATTGCTCACTCGCTGCCCCTGTTGGTGGTAGGGTCTCAACTTTGGGAGCGCTCTATAGAACCACTCTGAAGGGCACTTTGGCTCCTTCTCCCATGCTAGATGTGGAAGTACCCACAGTTTACCCCACCACACGTGACATACCGATCGACAGACTGTGGTGTACCCAAATATACTGCTGGCTGCAGATGTTGTGGTTGGAGTTAAGAAACGTGCACATTATTGGAACAGGTGCACGAGGAGTAAACGTCCAAATACATGCCGTAAAGTGTTTTTTTGTTGCAGTCGGAAGCAATTCCAGTTTGAATCGTGACCCCAGGTGTCCACTTAAAGCCCCTTCAAAATTCCAGTGTGGAAGAAATGAGCACTGCTTTTGCGGGACATCAACAGCAGTTTCCCTGCAGATGGACTGACCGACCTCTGCTCCAGAGAATACGGAATATCCACCACTGGCTCGGGGGGCCACTATGCAGGAGATAAGCAGCTCCCTCTTCTCACTGTGTCAAAGAACAAAGACGGGTCACCGCATCACGCGCTTGCCATAGCTGTTCAACCCCATTTATCAGTGCCCTAGCTTATTACAGACCAATTCAGACCTTATTGGTCACCCCGTGCCACATTTATATTCGCGAGAGCTAACCCAAAACAGCCCTCTACTGGGGAACCACGGGTCTGCAATGAGCCGCTGAGTGACTGCCGCCCACGCGCTGCGCAGCGTGGATGGTGAGAGTGGCTCTCAGGGCGTGTGCGACCCGCTCGTGTCACCCATGGCCCTGGCCGCCTGCATGCGAGTCGACTCGAGTTTCTCGCCGGCGTGGGTTCCGGCTCTCGGAGCATCCTTGCGGCTCAGCTGCCTGCAGCTTCACCTTCTGCACCACGCCAGCCAGTTCGGCGCAGGTTAGTAGAGGTCACACGGTGAGCAGTTCGGTCGTCGTCATCGTCGGCAATCGTAATCGGCCCACTGTCTATCCGTTGCTGAATGGAAGCCTCTCCACGCCATTGCCATCTCCCACAGTCCGGCGCTGCTACCGTCCACCTCGCTCTTACCCAAGGGCCGATCTCACCGCTGCATGTCCGTGGTGGTTCTGTACAAAGTTCGTGCAGTCGTGGCCACTTGGTGAAATGAAGCGTCCCTTGCGAATTTTACACAGAGCGGCAGGGCATTGTCCCGTGTTGCAAAACAGCCCGCAGAAGGTGGCGGTGACAGATCTACTTTGCACCTCCGATTAGCACGGTTGACTATGCACGGTGCGAAGGAAGTTCAACATACATACTCGTCTGACATCCACTTAACTGACCTGTGTTATCTGCACGTTTGGAGACGTTGTCTTTTCTAAATGGCCTGCTACCAAGGAAAGCTGAAAGCATGAGAGTCTAGCCAGTATTATTACTTCTCAGAACTGAAAATTATACATGCTAAGTGAAAAACCCCATTTAATGATCATACTAGCACCATCAATTAATTACCCTTGTAAACCTAAATAATCACAAGAGGCTGCAATTTGGTTTAAAACCCAGCATCTCAGCATTGGAAGCTCCATATTCTGAGATGGCAAGCAACACGATACAGCTAAATACAATATTTTATATTCATTTTGGACCATTTTTATTAAAATAAAAAAACCTATACAGTGTAACTGGTGTTCCCCAAACATTCGCAATGGTGAAACATGACCTGTTACTCAGTTAGGATTACACCAGAAACATCACGCCCAACTGCGAAAATTTGGCAGAACTCCCTCCTGAACAAGAGTCTTGGGACCCAGTTCGGCTTTCCGGGGTAAACAAATATAATGATAACAACAACAATGTTGATGCGTGAACGCTGTCAACCTCAGTGGGAAAGCGTTAACGATTACGGCCTGCGCCACGTTGCGTTCGATCGCCGAAACGTAAGCACAACGGTTAGCCGCGCAAAAGTCTCCCACCGCGCTTTTCCCCCGCGTGCCTCCCCCTCCCGTCCCCCGGTAGTAGGCTGCCCGCTTCGCCTGCGCCCGTTCGTGCCGGACCGCAGGACGCCGGGCGAGCACGAGTTCCTGGTGGTGTCGCTGGACGAGCCGCGCGTCTCCGCGCTGCACTGGGACGGGGCGCCCTCGCGCACGCACGCGCGCGTCAGCACGGGCGCGGAGGCCCGCGTGCTGGAGCACCGCAGCCTCACGCTGCGCCCCGCCGTCGAGCCGTTCCGCGCCCGGGCGCGCCTCCGCGTGACGCGCGGAGGCGCCGGCGGGGGGGACGGTGACGACGCCGGGGCCGCCGTGCACGCCCGCGTGCGCGTGGACCCCGTGTTCGTGCGCGTCGGCCAGTACACCGTGCACACGATCGCGACGGCCGTGCAGGCGTGGACGGAGGTGAGCCGGCCCGCCCGCACGCGCGCCACCGCACAGGCTCACTCGGGATCTCCCGCTCGCTCCCTCGCGTAGGGTTGGCTCGCCACTGTCGCTTGCTTGACACCTTCAGGCGTTGTCTCCTTAGGCCCTTGCTCGCTTAGCGTTTCCTTGTTTCTCACGTATTCAGCAGCGTCCTCTTAATCGCTCGTTCGTTGTCGTCCAGTCCCCTTAAAGTAAAACGAGAGTTGATGTCGTTGTGCGTTCTGCGCAAATGAGTCTGGGATAGCGTGCATCTCCTGTTGATGGCTATGTGCCCGTGGAAATTACACATTCCTGTTGGTAAGATTGAGTCTACACATAAGACAGACACTTTTCCGCTCCCCACGGAGTGGTACTAAATTTATATACCCTGCGAGGATGAGGGCCGAGTCGGTCCTTGACCGGGATGTAGAATCGTCGTAAAGAGGAATCGTCAGACTCCTGAGTGAATAAATGACATTGTTATCATCGTCGCACGTCACGTGTTATTTTCAACGGCTACTCTAGAAGAGTGGCCAAAAAGATTTAATGTGTCTCACAAACAAGTTTGCCAATTGAATTGGATATGATAGAGAAGGACACAGATGGGACAAGACAGACCATACACAAACTACATTGACTGAAGTGGAGAAGGCAGCGAGTGTTTAATAGGATCGAAAGATGCATCTATTCGTCAATGAACGTTGGTTATGAGGCTCGTGACACATGCATCAAATTACGTGTCGGAAGCGAAGCTTTTCATGCGTGCTGCAAGTAACGGAATATTGTCACTGGTACAGCCATTGGGATCAGAATCAGAAATATTTATTTAAACTGGAGGAGTCTGATGAGCCATAAAGCTCTTTTTCACAGACATGCAGTAGGAGTGGGTCAGAACGTTTACAGTAACAATCAATACAAAAATAAGATTGGAGTGCAAAGTATCGGAAAGGTCAGCAAATCACTCAAAATATAGAGCCAATCAAACGAAGCTATTTTGTTTATTTTACCAGGTAAAGCCCATTGAGCTATAGGGCTCTTATTCACAAATAATGGCTCAACAAAGTGGCTTATCACGTAGAAATTCATAGCAGCAAAATAATATAAATAATCTAAGCCACCCTCGAGAGTATATCGAATCTTCAGACGCATCAATCGCTCTGTCGTCCCCACCCTTTAGTGTTTAACATACATTTTAATTCGCATATTATTGTTGTTTTGAATCGGTTAATCCCGCCCTGTCAGAAATAATCTTCTTTTGTTTTCATGAATCGTCCGCAATGCATTATCCGCAATGATTAAGCTCTCAGACTTGTGGTTAGAGTTAATCCTTCTGTTAAAAAAAAACGCTTTTCCTTTCATCGACATTGTTAGTCCCGCACGGCTACAGCTCCCCAGCTCTGTCTGCAGGTGGTGGTGAACATTTATAAATTGACCATCACATGCGTTGTTATTACAAGTCGCCTTTTTTTTCAAATCACGAAGCTTTCATTTTTTCCTTCTCTCTCTCTCTCGTTTTTTTCTTCCATCTCTCAGATGTAATTTGCTCTGGGGTCAAAGCCCTTGGTGTTTTAAAGGGGATTTTATGCTATTTTTTGGCACGGCAATTGTTTCCATGTGCTTGCGCAGGCTGGCAGCCCCAATGCTGCAGACCACCTGTTCAGCCACTTCATCATCTGCAATGAGACCCAGGAGACCCTGAGGCTGGGGCAGGTGGACACAGATGAGAGCATTCTTCTGTCCAGTCGGCAGATGCACCAGTACTCGTGGAGGTCGCACAAAATCGCACAGGTACGGACGACGCATGCGCGTGCATTTGCCGCGCGCGCGTTGAGGATGGGACAGGCGGAGAGAGTGGTTAGCGCCAGCGTGCTACGAACCCAGCGGTCCGAGTTCGATTGCCGAAGCCCTGGCAATGTCTGAAGCGGTCCTTGCCCCTCCCCCCCCACCCTCCTAGGCTAACTCAGCCTTAAATGAGTACCTTGTGCAGTGGGAAAACATCGGCTCTGTGGAGACAAAGGTGGCACTTGTCTTCCGGCAAGTCTGTACGTCTACACGGGGGTCTTTGTGGGTAGAGGTGTAGCGATGAATCGATTCATTGTGTTACAATTTGCTTCAAACCGCTTGTGTAAGAATCGATTTTAAAATCTGTATGGTAGAATTGTTGCCTTGAATCATTGCGATTTAATTACGGAGGGGTAAATTGTCCGTAATAGAGTTTTTTTGGGTTAGATCGTGTCAATATTTAGATAGCGACTACTATCTCAATAATTATTTTATTATACCGTCTTTTTTAACTTTCCACTAGCATTGTGTGCTCATTCCTCTTACAATTGTGTCACGTGTGCCATGCGATTTCCCGGTATGAGCCTGAGCTGATGTACAATCGCAATATAAACGTTTCGACAGTGCGGATATTTCCACGTGACAAGTTATTATCCACAAAGCGCTGCTTTCAATAAAGACGTCATGGGCCCCACACTGGATTTGATTCCCCCACCGCCCCCCCCCCCCTCCTTGTTGGGTTTGTCTTGCGTATAATTGCGGACTGTTTATTTCAAACCAGTTCTAATCTATTAAAATGCAATAATAAAATTTCCACTGCAACAATTATACATTTCGCTGGGCTGGAACGTACACACCCACGGGCAAGCGAGCCTCCGCCAACTTGAGCCACGGTGCTGTTCTGCCTGATTACAGCCAACGATCCTTCCCGTTTTAATTTGCAGTAGCTTCCCCGCCGCTCACCGCTATCGTGCAATCACTCGCTGCAGTTTCATTTGCCCGTAATTACCCGCGCCAACATTGCACAAGCCACATGTTTGGGGAAAATTAATTGAGTGTGATCTGCTTCCTTCCCAGATATTTTTTCCATCCCCCTTTCCGTTGGGTTTCAAGTCGGTCCAAATAAGATAGGCCTCCTCCCTGCCAAAGTAAACACACTGCCCAACGTAAGGGAGGGGGGGGATTGTTTTAATCTGTGCTGAAATGTGACAGTGTGCTTTTGTTGGCAAGGCCCACCCTGCAGTGTGCAGAGGTAATATGTCTCAGCGTGTGTTTTCAGAGCTTCTGCTTTTGGTCCATACTCCTGATTGATGCGTCCCATTATTGGCCATTAAAGCAAATTGAGGCTCGTGTTCGGCCCCACGCTTCACTTGCACGACTAGAAACGTCTCCAAAAAAATAAGTCGGTGCCCCGAAGCGTCATGTACGAAGGATTCTGACACTTGCATACCACCAGTCCTTGTAGTAGCTTCTCTTGAATTGATTTTTTCCCTCCGCCTTGCGTCATTTTCAATTTCACATGTGTAAATATGAAACGGTGCTTGAATTCTTAATAGTGTATTAACAGCTGTTCCCACATTTGGAATACGAGTCACCGGTAGGAATTCTACGTGGGGGAAAATTACTCGTAACAGTTCGGAGTTGTCAAAATTAAGAGCTCTTTCAAATAGTCATGAGGAGCAATTATGCTGCTCATGTCCTCGAGGTTATTTGGCCAAATTCAGGTGTTTCACAGTTCCTCGTTACTGGCTGCTCACCATTATCCCCTTTAGTAAAGTGTATTTCACTGAGCGATGATGTTTTCCGCTAATCAAAACAAAGAGAGAATCGCGGAGAAGCAAAATGTAAAATATTTAATGGAAGAGAAGGTGAACGGGGTTCATTGGCATTACACGGATTAAGTGGCAATGTAAGGGTTTAGGCATGAAGTTTTATCACGATTTTCAGTTTTTCCATTGTAATTTTCAGTTGAATTCTTGACAGCCCTGTTTATATTCTGCCGGGAAATTCTTTCCAAATGATATCTCACCTGACGCTTTTGCGGTTGTGTAATTATCACGTCCCCATGTGTGAACATTTTCCACTTGTGGTTCCAGGTTTAATGCCTTTTAACAATAGTTAAAACCCGACAAACACGAATCACGCTGTGCGGTTCTCTCTCGCTGCTAGTTTTAAAGGAAGTCGCAATCAAAACGCCACGAGCAAGAGGAGCCATGTAGGATGGCTTGGGACAGTTATCTTTGATCGGTTGCTTTAATTTAGTTGTTGTTGGAGTCTTTGGCATGTACACTGAATAATCCTAAGCATGATTTAGAATCACATAGCCAAATTCCTTGCAGGGAGAGCCTCACGTTTTAATGTAACCTTGCACGCTGACCATCATTTGGTATGGTCACACAAAAGGTGCTGGTTTGCCTTCATCCAGCAAGTTGAGATTGACCGAGGGTTGTACGGTGGCGAGATGTTAACTACCTCGTCTGGTATAAAGGAGGGTCGTGGGTTCGATCCCGACCCTGACGATGCCTGTATATTTGGAGTTTGCATGTTCTCCCCGTGGTCGCGTGGATTTTTCTCCGGGTCCTCAGGTTTTTCCCTCCACATTCATAATCAATGTGCATTTACAGTATTTGGCTGCTATAAATTTCTACATGATGAGCCACTTTGTTGAGCTATCATTTGTCAAAGGTCACTTCTGAAAAAGAGCTACATCGCTCAGCGGGCCTTCCGTGCTAACTATAAAAAATATATATTGATTTTGTGCAACTATTATAATTATCGCTTGGAAACATTGTGGCGCAATTCACCCGGACCGTGTCCGCCCGCAGATGCTGCACGTGTGCATCGAGGGCTGGGGGAACTGGCGGTGGTCGGAGCCCTTCAGCATCGACTGCCCGGGCGTCTTCCTGCGCAGCATCCAGTACAAGGGGCGCGTCGCCTCGCTCGTCGTCACCGTGGTCATGCTCAGCGGCGTACAGAAGCAGGTGCCCTTCCATCGCGTGCGCCCTCCCGTCAGCCCCACAACTCACCCGCCAGAAATTGCGAGAGTCGGGCTACCGTCATCGCCGCGTCGGTCCCCCACGTCTTCTGTGCGGCAGCAACTGGCTGTGAGCTCGGCCCGTTGTGCGTGGCGGTTAGAGGGCACTGCTGTCGCAGTCGCGAAGTTCTGATCTTTATCGTGGGTCAACTCGGCCGTCTCTGCGTAGAGTTCCACTATGTGGTAAGTTTAATCGTGGATGTCCTCTGGATTAACGAACTGGTCCATGTAATAGGAATGTGGAATTTCCACAACGGCCTTGGCTGTAATGTTGAGATGAGCACCACCTCAAACTGGTTTGAGGATTGAAGCTGCCACAACATTTGTTATTTAACACGTAAAGAAATATTTCTCTTTCAAGTAAAAACATAAAAAGTATTGCACCAAAGTGTTATGTGTTGTGGCTTCCATTGAGCATTCAATTTTCATACCGATTTGAAAGTTGAGTTATGTTCTCTGAGTTCTTCCAGTACCCGAGCTACTGATATCTCCTATATCGGTTCCTGCAGGTCACTTACAGATTTAGTAAATTCTTTCGCATTGCCCTCAATGTCAGCCACACGTGCAGTTTTGGTGAAACGCTCTTGCCATTTTTCACGTCACCGTTAACAGAAGCAGATTGAGATTGCGCAGATGTTTTTGTATTTAGCTGACTCCACTGCATTAACGCGCGCGCTTTGTTCAATCAATGCATAGTCCAGACTGCACCGCATTCCGTTTGCTCTTTACTTTGCAACAAACCCCCCTCCCCCCACCACCCCCCCCCCCCCCCCCCACTAAACTCCTGGCGCTGAACTTGTGTTGCGTGCAAAGTTCTGGGTGAAATCATATTTCAGATTACCGACACCAGATAACAGTGTGCACAGATGTTTTTTTTGTATGTTTAAGCGAATGTAAGTGCAGTAATGTGCCCTGTGTTGTTGATTAATGCTTGGCGCTTGCCCAGCCGCATTACGTGTTCATCTCGCGCTCTCTTGCATGTATGTTGAACTTCTTTCGCGCCGTACGTAGCCGACCGTGTTATCGGAGGTGCGGGGGAAAGACAACAAACTGAATACAAAAAAACATTTGTAATGAAATGAGTTTTAAATCTAGATGATTTATAAGTTCATAGCTCCAGTGACTATCTAATATCAGAAGCAAGCGCATTCCAGATGGCCGCAGAAGCGCATCTGAAAGCGGCGCGGTGCGGTAACCCTCTTTGTTCGATGGCTGGACAAAAGCTGCCGCCGCCGCCGCCGCTGCGAGGATGATGACCGGAGTTTGCGTGACGATGGTTTACGCTCCTCCGCAAGGTCAGCAAGGGGGCATTGTGGTCCATTTGTGGCAGATTACGATCACGGGCAGGCACGTGGTGCGCAGCTTTCTCGACATGGACCTCGAGCTGCACTTGACGCAGAGCTTCATGGGCCCCGACGGGCAACCGGTGACGGCCGAGCACACCCAGGCCCTGCCGGCCAATCATATGCTTCCGTCTTACGTGATGGAGAGCGCCGAGCTGCGGTGCGTGCGCGTCAGGGTGCCCGGCTGCGATTGGTCCGGAGAGGTGTGTCCTTCCGCCAACCGATTGGAGGAGAGCGTTGTGATGGAGGTACATGCCCGTGCAATCTTTCATGCAATAGAGTGTGTGTGTATGCGTGGGGAAAGGTAGTGTAGTGGTTCGCGCACTGAGCTACGAACTCGGCATCCGAGTTCGATTCCCGCTCACAGCGAGCACCAGTGACGATTATCTGAGCTAGTTTGGGCCCTCCCCTAAGTCGACTCAGCCTCAAAAGAGTACTTGGTGCAATTTGTAAAGATCACCACCCGGGAGACAAAGACGGCCGGGCGTGGTGTTGGCCACCCACCTCCTCGTGTGCCGTGCCAGCCTTAATAGGCAGGGGCGGAGCCAGGGGGGGTGACAGGGGTGACATTCTGCGTATAAGTGTACGACACTCGGTCTGGCGGACTCCGTACAACTGTACTGTCAGAGTGTGTCGCCAACCGATGGCGTCTAGTTCAACAGCCTGACTCTCTAATCATTCTTGAAATTTAAATTTGTTGAATGTCACCACGGCCTGAAATCCTGGCTCCGCCCCTGTTAATAGGTGCTCGCTAAAAGCACTTGCCCCAATAGTTTGTTACAGGCTGTACGGGCAATTTTTTTTTGTATGCGTCAGTGAACCCATAATACTTGTGTATCTCCCTTGACCTCTTTCCAGCAAGCCTTGTACAGGTCATGTGGCCTGAAAGTGCACCTATCCTGGCACAAGCCGTGTGGTGAAGCCACAACCACCTAGTGGCAAATGGTGGCTGCTATCGTGTGTATGTGTGGGGACGTGGAGTCGTATCGTGGTGGTTCACTCACTGCACTGCGGATTCAGAGACTTGGGTTTGTTTCCCAGCCATGGCTAACATCAGCAGCGAGCGATATCTGAACCGGTTTTTTTTAACCTCCCCTAGGACGACTGGGGAGACAAAGGCAAGCCAGGCATGGTGCTGGACACCACCCTGTTTCGTCATGTGCCGTGTCAGCCTTAATAAGTGCTTGCTAACAGAACTTGCAAACAACAGTCTGCTAAAGGCTATACGGGGGATCTTGTGTATGTGGACTTTACAATCTGTGCTTTTGTTTCTAGGAATATGTAATCATTTTAATGGGCGTTTGCTAGGAAACAATTTAAACCGGATGTGGAAAAACTGTTTGTGTTTTGACAAGGATCTGTTCTATTTAAGCCTATTGGAATTGAATGTGTCTTTGGCAGAACGGGCCGTATGTGGGTGTGGAATAATTATATTATTATTCTTAGAATAAATAAACCCCGTTTTTTTGGCGATGCACTACTGCATGTAAGCCCTCCGCACACCGTGCCAGTCACAGGGTTGGTTGCCCTTCGGTGAAGGCGGAGGAGCCCAGAACCAGTTCCTGGCTGGGAATCAAACTCAGGTCACCACAGTCATAACACACTGCGCTAACCACTGCACCACCCGCGTGGGTGTGTGCGTACGTACGTATTATTTGTTCGCTAAAAACAAAGGGGAAAAAAAACATCACAATTAAATATGCATATGTTATTTTTTCTCAGTATTGTCTATAGCCCTAACGCTTCTGCAAATCCCCGTGAAAGTTCCCAATCCCATGTAAATCCCACAGCATTAAGATCTGAATGGTCGCAGATTGGTTGCTATGGGTGTAAATCCATCCCCGTGGTGCCGTGTTTCGGCACCAGCAGGTCCGTTTTAGATCCCGTCACTCGCGATGGAAGTGTGTGGGGTCGTTGTGGATGGCTCGTGTAGCCAACTTGCCTGCCCAACATGACAGACCGCCTGGCGTTTGCAATCAAACAGAATGTGCTCATTACACACGTTGACACTTGGGGTGGGGTGGGGAGGGGGGAGGTGGTCACTGCCAAGGCAAAATTGATTTCTTTAGAATTGCTGATTGAACAACTCTTCTTGCAGAACATGGAGAGTTGCAGTCACTTTCAATTGCATTGATCGTGGCTCCAACTGCTTCTGAAAACGAGCATGGATTTCGCCATTAATGGTCAGCTCGGCTAAATGAATTTTTGGTCTTGGAAAGGTTGCACGGGCAGCTCACGAAAGTTAAGGCCGCAACGTGAGGTGCGTTTTTTAGGCGCTGTACCCACTGCCAACGGCATTTCCAATTCTCGCCTGTCCGATGCGCCCTTTTGGGGTTGTGCCCCGCGGTTTTCCGGCGACGTTCGACGTTCACACTTCCGGAAGAAGCGCGCGGAGCGAAACGTCGGACGTGGTGCCGGAACGTCACGCGGCACAACCCGAAAAAAACACACCGTGCAGGGAGGGGGGGCAGGTGGGGGGGGGGGGGGGTTGGGAGCTGACGTGCCAATTGTTGACTCCCATCGCTCCACTTTTGTCTGTTAGCCAACATCCACGCTGGCAGGCGTCTGGAACCGAGCGTCGTGTTGACCGCTGCCCCTTTTGACAGCGCCGCCGCCGTTGTTGTTGATGTTTGGTTTGCAGGTTCCTCGTCCGAACGGATCCCCCATCCACATCTGGTGTTCCGTGCTGGCCTCCCAGCCCAGCGCAGTGGTCGAGCAACGCGTGGTGAGGATGGATTTCCGAGTTCAACCGAGCGCCACGTGCGAAGCGCTCGCAATTCTTTTTCCCCCGATTCTTTGCACGCACGCCAAAAGCCGCATGTGGAGGATGTGCCAGGCTCTGAAGGATTAGTTGCATTTCCACTGGAGAGCAACTTCTTCATTTCGAGACATCGATTTACGATTTGCAACGTTGCTCACGTCGGAAACCGGGAGCCAACCTTGTTGTGTTCTGCCTCGGCAGCGGGGAAATGCCTCAATGTTAAAGTCGTTACAATTTTGAACTGGTGCCTTTCACACATTGGCACAAAGTGGTAAAATACCAAAAAAGTGTTTTTATTTCACGCAACAACAACGAAAGTTAACGTGTTCGCAAAGTGGGGGAAAAAAAATAAGTATTTTGCATTCGTTTTATACAATTGACGGTTAAGCATTTTTAATTTGTCCTCGAGTGCCTTTATGTTGACTTTTCCAAGACAGAGGTTCTTTGTAAGCCATCTGGCTACCATGAGAGATTCGTTCATGAGGCTATCCACATATACAAGCACAGAGACAATTTCAACCGAGAAGATGGATTCTGGCTTAGCAATCATTGGAAAGATTTGATAAACCATTTCAGGTCTTAATTGATTGTTCACGCTTACAGTGGCTTTCAGACAGCATACATTAAAAAAAAATTCGTCTCCCCCCTCCTCTTTTCAGAACATAGATGGACTAGTCCGTCTAAATAAACTGCCAAATCGCTGTGCGTGGCGCTAACGTTTTGTTTTTAAATACACCGTTTAAAAATAAATACATTTATGCAAACCGACACACCTGAAGACGACCGTTTGTGTTATGGTCGAAACGTCGTGAGAATTTTTTATTGTTTTATATATATTTTATTATTTTCTTGTTTCCCTTCAACGTGACTTTACCGAAAGAACTAAGAATACGCCTTTATGTTTCCGTCACTTTCCGCAATATAACAGGTGAAAGGTAAAGGTGAAACCCTGCAATTGCTTGCTAATTACCGCTGCTGGTGGAAGGGACCTCCAGCCCCTCTAGAGGGTATTTGGCCTACTCTTCCACCCTGGCCAGACCTCTTGAAAGAGTGGGAATTACCCATACTTTACCCCACCACAACCAACCTGCTTGACCCAATCACTCTGCTGTACCCATTTATACTGCTGGGTGGTGGGGCAGAGGCATTGGGGATTTATAAACAAATAAAGTGCCCATTGTTTCAACTTTGGCACCAGGAGATTGAATCGAATTGGTGACCTCTGGATTGTTAATCCAGTGTGCTAACTATTTTGACCATGGCAGCATCCTGTTGTTTGTGATCAAAATTGACAGTTGAGAAGTTTGCGTTTGACATGAAGCACCATTGAGTTTCCAATGTATCGTACATTGTAGCTGTTCTAATCGGGATTCACGCCTCCTCTCCCCTGCGATCCACCTCACAGATGGTGTTCAGCCCATTGTTCATGATGTGCAGCCACCTCCCAGAGCCACTCACCCTGCACGTGGAGAAGAGGAGCCGGGGACAGAGGCAGATGCAGTGCATTGTGGGCCGGGGTCAGGAGGTCACGCTTCAGCACATGGAGGCAGAGCTGACGCATCACCTCACCTTCCAGACGAGGTGCTTGGAGCTCACGCGCTCCAGTTTGATTTTGCCTTTAAATCGTAGGTCGATATTCGGGATATGTTCCCGATATTCGGATTAACCAGGAAAATCTGATTACAGGGCCAATAAAAACTATTTTCGGATTGATGTGAATATGACGCCATTGGAAGTGCCGTCGTTTCCATGGCATCACGTCCATGATCTCATGGGTGGTCTTACCATGAATAGTCTTGTGTGGCATCAGGTGACATCAGCACGGAGACATGTTAAATTAAGACGATGTAAATGATCAGAACATGTGAAAAAATAAGATCCATAATCGCCCTTAAAAGTCCTAAAATATGAAATCTTATATTTGTTTTTTATCCAAAACTCATCCCTATTGGGTGTGAATTCTCCCTTTTAATATAGTTTTCAATCAGCGTGAGCTGTCACTAACATGTCACTGTAATCCTAATCAAGGTAACAAATGTAATCTTTGAGTATTTTGTTTAATTGCCTTTGCACAGCTATTGGGGCAGTAAAATAATATCGAAAATAGCTGATGAGTTTGGCGATTATAAACTATGAATGGTGACGTGCCTTCGGTAGGGCTTCTCATGTCGTGGACCGTTTGTAGCACAAGCTTCATGGATCTTCTTTGGTTCTTTCGGTGGAAAGAACCAAAGAAGATGAATCCTTGCAGTCACGAAAGCTTTCAATCGAAATCTTCATGGATCTGTATATCCTCAATGCAGCACGAATAAACGCTTTGGAGGAATTCAAGTTAAATGGTTCACTTGTATGTCAAAACACTGAAAAGCTGCATCATCAACAAACAAAATGTAACTAATAAACTATGGACATTTTTTTATCGCTTAAAGAAATACCAATAGTGTGCCACAGATTTTATTATTTTTTGGGGGGTTACATTATTGGTAAGCGTCAGTTTAATTCAGTGTATCTTTAATTAAAAATCTCTTTACTTGTGGCCGGTTTCACAGAAACCAAATACACCCTTATTACCCATTTCTGTGATAAACACGCTCCTGCTTTAAATCACCGTTGTAGAAGGTTGCATTTAATCACGGAAAATTAACGTATAAACAGCCTTTAATGCTGACCTTCAATTGGCCTCCAGTCTCGGGAGCTCTCAAGTGCCGTGATGGGGATGAAAGGCAACCGCGTCATAATTCTATTGACTCACAGATGCATTGCCCAGCACGCCATACATCGCGCAATGAATATGTCGTAGGCTCTGATTGCCGTCATTGTTGGGGTGGGTAATAGCTGGGGTTTGAGGGTTGCTGCAGAAGTACAAAAGCAGGGGTTGCAGCTGGATTAAATAAAATGTCCACAAGGAGCCAAACAAAAGCATGTCCCCATGCTGAGAGAGTCCAGAACGCTGCTTCATTTGAAGAAGCATTCCGCAGTTGGGCTTCAATATCTCAATCGAACCTTGGCTGCCAGATACTACCGTTCAAGCTTTCTGAGAAGCTCATTTTACTAAATGTAATTAAACTCACTCGCTGCCTCTCTAAGCTATAATGCAGACATTACTTTTTCCACCTCCTACATCGCATACAAAATGATGCAAGGTGCTCTGTGTAACGTTTGCGGTTCTTTTCACGTAACATTTTTTTCTGTGCACGTATTTGGGAAACCGTTCCTCCATTTGATGCAACTAGAAAACGTTTGTATTGTTTAACGGACGATGTAAGGATATCAGTTGCAAGCTGGAGCAAAATATATGGAGCACCTGACTCACACATTTACGAGTTCCAGGTTTTTGTTGGGTTAGATCGTGTAAATATATAAATGTTGTGTCGTTAAAACCCGCCACCACCCGACACAGCCAACGAGTAAGGGTTGTCACGTAAACAGAACGTGGCCAGTTCGTCACTAGTACAGCACTAACCGGTGTGTTGAAGAGCCAAGCCACAACATTTACAATCTGAGTACGACGTTTCGCCAGTAATTACAACTAGCTTCATCAGGCGACAGCCAGATTTGTGGGGAAATCCTCCTGTTTCGTTCCTTACATAGAAGGAGTAGATGTGATGACGACACTTGGAATTATGATGGATGATATTGGTCACGAAAGCCTGCTCTGTGTTGAACTGACTAACATCTCAAGAGAAAGGAATATGTAATAGGCAAAGATTTGGGTCTTTGACGAATTTGTTCAGTTTTTTTGTTATTTGTGCTTGCGCAATACTGCCAACATAGTAGCGCACTTTTTCTGGCCGAATTAGTAACGAGGCCTTTGTGTTTACAATGGAAGCCTAAGTCTGTATGTTTGTGCACGTACGCACGTGTGTGTGTGTCCATGCATATGTGCGTGTCGAGGGGTGGCGGAGCGGTTAGTGCGCTGCACCACCAACCCTGGCGACCCGATGTTCGATTCCCGCTCACGGCCAACACTAGTGAAAATTATCTGAACCGGTTCTGGGCCTCCCATAGGTCGACTCAGCCTCAAATGAGTACTTGGTGCAATGTGTAAACATCGCCACCCAGGACACAAAAGCGGATGGGCGTGGTGTTGGCCACCAACCCCCTTTGCTTGCCAGTTTTTTATAAGTGCTACTCGCTAACAGCACTCGCCCCAACAATCTGTTAAAGGCTATACGGGAGGGGGTGACCTTTGTCTTTGTCTGTAGGGATGACGGTGAGGTGTCGGAAGCTGCGGTGCCCATCTCCACGGCGCTCGTCCTGCAGATCATGGACAAGGCAGACTCGGAGCCCCTGGACATGTCCCCGTTACTCGCCGCCACGACTCTCGACAAACCTGACAACCCATGGCCGTACATCGGCCCCAGTCATGAACGGTGAATACATAAACGAAACTATTAAAAAAACATTTTGGACTGAGAGAAAGGCCCACTGAGCCACCGAGGACCCCGACATTAGCACCGCTGACCTCGGCGACGTTCTGCAGGCAACATAAACTGAAACTAAACTGTGAACTATTTTTTATATTGTCAGGTGAGGCCCCCATTGAGCTATGTAACTCTTTTTCAGAAGTGACCTAGCCACAGATTATAGCTCAACGAAGTGGCTTATCGTGTGGAAATGTATAGCGGCCAAATACTTTAAACGCTCTGTTGATTCTAAATGTGAAGGGAAAAACCCGGAGGACCTGGAAAAAAAACCACGTGACCACGGGGAGAGAGACACGCAAACTTCAAATATCCAGGCGTCATAAGTCAGGACCGAACACAGGCCCTCCTGTATAATCAGGCGAGTTAGTTAACATCTCACGCGTAAGTTTTCGCGGTTGCCCTATACAGCACTCCGATGTGTCTTTTACAGGGGTTGTGTTTTTCGACACGATGGACCTCCGTTTGGGGGATATGTCGCACACCATGCCTCACCGCACGCTGGCTCTCTGCCCCTATTTGTATTTGTTTTATTCACAATTCCATTCCGAGTGCGTTCCTCGCGTCAGGTCATGAGATGACAAAAATATCTGCTTGCAAGTCTTGGCACTCAGGATTGTTACAGCACTACTTGTGAAGGAAGTCACTTCAGTATGCCCTCCTCAGCCACACTAAGGACGCAACGTGTACGTGCCCTGCAATGGTTACTGAGGAAATCAATCTCATCCCTCCATCCCCATAAATGGCCCGTCCACTCGGGTGCCTTCTTTCCTCATGGTTGCCATTTCATCACCGGTCTCATCCTCCAGCCATCTTCGCTTTCCACAAATCTTGTCCTGTTCACCAAACCCCCACCCGCAGTGTGTTCTCGAATTACCCGGCCGTTATAATTTCCACAAAGACAAAATTGAACCCATTTCCACATTTTATTGCTATTCATGTTGATTTGATTTCATTAATATAATGGCATGACCTTCCTGCGCAGCGTGGAGATGACGCCAACGACAGGTCACCATTGCTGTGGACGCTGTTCAATTTGAGTCGCCTCGGAGAATGCCCATTGTATGCGTGGCATCGTGTGTCCACCCACGTTATTTTGAGGGCGCACCGTTGTATTTAACGGCCAATACAATGTCGCCCGCTGTCGCTTGTGTTCCCCGAGTCAGAATAAGAATATATGTTTGTACTGGAGGCATCCGATGATCTGTAAAGCTATAAAGGTTGTGGATCAGCATTGCGAGGGCACGGGCCCTCGAGCAGGAATAGATTAGTTACTCTCTGGGCTCTTTGAAAGGTGAGCACCACGGGTCTGCACGCACAGCACACGTGGCAAAACCAGAATCAGAACGTGGAGAAATCCCACGAGCTATGGCGGCTCTTATTTTACAGATGTCCAGTACAAAAAACACGATAGGAGTGCAAAGTATAGGAGAGGTAAGCAAATCGCACAAACTAAACTTTTCTTTTTTCAGAAGCGACCTGGCCACAAATGATGGCCCAATGAAGTGGCTCCTCATATGGAAATTTACAGCAGTCAAATAATCTAAACGCATGTTTCTAAATGTGGAGGGAAAAACCAGAGGACCCGGAGACGAAATCCACGCAACTGCGGGGAGAGAGCGAGAGAGAGCCATGCAAACTCCAAACATACAAAGCACGTCTCTCCTCCCCGTCTCACCGCCGCCTTGCCGTTCTCCCCCTGCTCCCTGCGCGTGAAACCAGGGCGGCGTGGGAGGCCTCGTGCCAGTGGGAGAGCCCCATGCAGGTGAAGCTGTCGGCCTGGAAGCCCGGCCTCAAGACCCTCTTCATCGAGCTGCGGCCCTGGGCCCTGTTGCTCAACCGCTCCTCCTGGGACCTGTGGCTCTTCGAGGGAGAGCGCGTCAGCGTGCAGGCGCCCGCCGGCAAAACCATCGTCCCTCCCAACTTCACGGTAGCGTCAACCCTCCCCCACCCCTGCGCCACCACATGGGCGGCAAACCTCCACTAACCCTTCTGGCTCGGCGGCACAGATCGGCCGTGGCCAATACATCGTTAATTCGCTTGGACGGCTGGCTGGCCCCTTGCATCGATCTGCGGCGTCTATCGTCGCGCGGGAGCTCAATGCCAAACGTGGATGTCCGCTAGTCACGCGACGGCTTCAGGAGAGAGCTCGTGTAGTTTTTCTGCTCCTCCATTGAACGAGCGCAGGCTACAGTGGTTTACTGCACGGTCCGTGGCTCGGGTTACATGGCCGCAGTCGCGCTGTGGCTTGACCCCTCTCTGTCGCCTTGTTGCCAAGTCTCGTGAAGAGTACCGGGTGCCGAGTTGCTGATCCGGCGTAGGCGAGGGCGACTGTGAGGTCTCGGCCAGGTCGGCAAGGGATGGCTAGCCTGATCTGGTGTCAGCGGCGTGAGCTTCAGCGCTTCGAGATGTCAGTGGCAGGCGTTTTGGACTGAGCAAGGGCTGATTTGTTCAGGCATGCAAAAGTGATCTAAGAGGCACAGGGATGTGTTATTTCAGCTTGCGTTTTACCGGAATGAAATCAGCTGTGTGTGTATGTTGTTTTTCCTGGGGCATGTCTACATTCCAGAACTGAAATATTTTTCAAAGTGGTTTCCCTATTCAAACTAGCATCAGACGGTGCTTACGGCAACTGCTGTTAACTTTCGATTTAAAGCTTTCGTGACTGCAAGGATTCATCTTCTTTGGTTCTTTCGGTAAAGTCACGTAGAATGAGAATAAAATAATGAAATAAAATAACACAATAAGATTCTCACGACGTTTCGGCCACAACACAAGTGGCCTTCATCAGGTGTTGTGGCGGAAAGTCGTGATAATTTTATTGTTATTTTATTATTTTATTCTCATTCTACGTGCTGTTAACTTCCCCACAAAGCTGTACTCATTCTCCGATTAGCACTGTTTGGCTACGTACGGTGCGAAAGAAGTTCAACATACATATGTTTGATCGCAACTGGAGGAATTTAATTCCGATTGCGAGCCAAGTTCACTCGGTACTGCGCAGTATCCAGTGGGGAACAAGCTCCCACCCTAAGCTATTTTCAAAGTTAAACTGTAGGTGCTGGTAACCAACCTAAGAAAAAAAACATCCGTTAAAAACCTTAGTTCTCAACCCTTATACATCACGAATTTTTTTTCAGTGTATGCAGTCTGTTCTTCTATAATGCGGTAGTTGCGTTCCTGAACAATATCACGTTATGAAAAAAAAATCGCGTTTAATGTATAATATAAATTATAGGGTAAAGCACAGTCGGCAATAACACGTGAGAGATGCGTACGCGGGCCGAACAAAGACCGAGGCGCGTGGGTAGCATCTAGAAGCATCCAGCAGCATCCCGCCTTGTTTGACGCTAAGCCGAGGCAGCCGTACAACCGCTTATTCCTACTCGCGCGACTTAGTTCTGATCACTCAATCGCGTCATTTCTAATTCGCGTTCTGAAAATACCCCGTTATAGGAGAACATATACGCAACGTATTTGCAAGAGATCGTTTCCCCCACGGTGGCGTCGGTCGTGTGATGCAGGAGCCCTTCCAGCTGGGAATCTACTACTCACGCTCCAACACGGTGCACAAGTCGGCCGCCGTGCGCCTGGCGCGTGAGGTCACGTCGCCCAAGTGGGCCAACGGCGGCGCCGCCGCCTTTGAGGTGGTGGTGGAGCTGCCGGAGGAGGGGCTGGCGCACGTGGACGTGCGTCTGGGCTCCGTGCCGGGCGCCGGGAAGGTGAGCGCCAGCAACCGCGCACACTCCAGGATCACCGTCGGGAATGTTTTGGTTTGCGCGGGAGGAATCCGCTGAGCTTACAAGGCTCTTTTCACTATAATAATTGGTATTACTATCAAACTTACTAAACGTAATGTAATTACGTTTCTACGGATTTCACAGCCGCAGTTACAGTGAGGGAAAAAAGTATTTGATCCCCTGCTGATTTTGTACGTTTGCCCTCTGACAAAGAAATGATCAGTCTATAATTTTAATGGTAGGTTTATTTGAACAGTGAGAGACAGAATAACTACAAAAAAATCCAGAAATACGCATCTCAAAAATGTTATAAATTGATTTGCATTTTAATGAGGGAAATAAGTATTTGACCCCCTCTCAATCAGAAAGATTTCTGGCTCCCAGGTGTCTTTTATACAGGTAACGAGTTGAGATTAGGAGCACACTATTAAAGGGAGTGCTCCTAATCTCAGCTTATTACCTGTATAAAAGACACCTGTCCACAGAAGCAATCAATCAGATTCCAAACTCTCCACCATGGCCAAGACCAAAGAGCTCTCCAAGGATGTCAGGGACAAGATTGTAGACCTACACAAGGCTGGAATGCGCTACAAGACCATTGCCAAGCAGCTTGGTGAGAATGTGACAACAGTTGGTGCGATTATTCACAAATGGAAGAAACACAAAGAACTGTCAATCTCCCTTGGCCTGGGGCTCCATGCAAGATCTCACCTCAAGGAGTTTCAGTGATCATGAAAACGGTGAGGAATCAGCCCAGAACTACACGGGAGGATCCTGTCAATGATCTCAAGGCAGCTGGGACCATAGTCACCAAGAAAACAATTGGTAACACACTATGCCGTGAAGAACTGAAATCCTGCAGCGCCCGCAAGGTCCCCCTGCTCAAGAAAGCACGTATATATGCCCGTCTGAAGTTTGGCAATGAACATCTGAATGATTCAGAGGACAACTGGGTGAAAGTGTTGTGGTCAGATGAGACCAAAATGGAGCTCTTTGGCATCAACTCAACTCGCTGTGTTTGGAGAAGGAGGAATGCTGCCTATGACCCCAAGAACACCATCCCCACCGTCAAACATGAAGGTGGAAACATTATGCTTTGGGGGTGTTTTTCTGCTAAGGGGACAGGACAACTTCACCGCATCAAAGGGACGATGGACGGGGCCATGTACCGTCAAATCTTGGGTGAAAACCTCCTTCCCTCAGCCAGGGCATTGAAAATGGGTCGTGGATGGGTATTCCAGCATGACAATGACCCAAAACACACGGCCAAGGCAACAAAGGAGTGGCTCAAGAAGAAGCACATTAAGGTCCTGGAGTGGCCTAGCCAGTCTCCAGACCTTAATCCCATAGAAAATCTGTGGAGAGAGCTGAAGGTTCGAGTTTCCAAACGTCAGCCTCGAAACCTTAATGACTTGGAGAAAACCTGCAAAGAGAAGTGGGACAAAATCCCTCCTGAGATGTGTGCAAACCTGGTGGCCAACTACAAGAAACGTCTGACCTCTGTGAGTGCCAACAAGGGTTTTGCCACCAAGTACTAAGTTATGTTTTGCAGAGGGGTCAAATACGTATTTCCCTCATTAAAATGCAAATCAATTTATAACATTTTTGGCATGCGTTTTTCTGGATTTTTGTTGTTGTTATTCTATCTCTCACTGTTCAAATAAACCTACCATTAAAATTATAGACTGATCATTTATTTGTCAGGAGGCAAACTTCCAAAATCAGCTGGGGATCAAATACTTTTTTCCCTCACTGTACCAGTAACAGCCCAGACTTTAATATGAATGGTGAATGTTAGGAGTGTATTGATTGTCCCTGTCGAGATTCCCCCAATTGTCATGATTCAGGAAGACTCAATAGTTAATAATAATTATATATATTACATTTTCAGTGAGTGTAGCGGCCTCTAGCACCCATGGGGCGTCTCGTGAACCCCGTGACATGCACCGTACGCTAATTGCAGGCTTCCTTCTCTATCTAAACTCCCCGACCACTTGAAATAATTTTGCTGGGGGATTAGTTCCACTCTCAAGAGAGCACCTTTTTACAATTGCATAAGCCTCTGTTGAGTGTGTAATGTATAATTCATTGATCATCTTTGATGCATTTTTAAGTCAAGAGGTTTGAATTACCAGGCATTCAAGAGGAATTGTATATTGATAATACTACATTGTGCATGATATCTTATAGGATCAAGGAGTTTGTTTTTGGGGATTGTAGCTCTCCTATTAATATTTTAGTAGAAGCAGTTGTTGGCATGTTAGCTCTAGATTGTGTGTATATATATATTTATATGCATGAACGACTTATTTTTGTACTTCAATGTATATTCTGTATAAATAATTATCAGGGCTATCAGGACGCATGGATTCATCGATTCATACCAATTCATGTAGCTCGCAATACGAACATCGAATTGCGTTTGTAAAAGTTGTTGCGTTGAACATTTTTAAACTCTGTTACATTTAGGCTCGTGGAGCAAAAGAAAAACTACACACGAGATGAAAAGAACACAAAATAAACGAGATTAAAAAATATATCTATTAATGAATTAATTTGTAGCCCTGATGTGTGCCAACTTATTGAATTGCCAGGGTGGCGAATCATCCTTGCATCATTACTTATTAATACGTAAATATTTACTTGAAATAAGTAAAAACTAATTTTCATGCCACACGGCGGTTACATCATAAGGGTATTGCGATCTTCTCGACGTTGGTGTTCTCCACTTCTGTACCGTTCCCCATTCTGTTGCAAAGTGCACCTATGCCTACTTCATTGAGGGCGGTATTGCCACGTAAACAAAAAGAACGAACGATTGATTGGTGGCACAGTCTGTTGGAGAGAGTGCGATGTGTAGCTAACCAGAGCCGTGATCGTGATCCCCCCACCCCCCCCCCCTCCAGCTGTGTCAGTTCTGCATCACGTCGATGCTGCGCCGAGGAATTCAGGTTCTCCTCGTTGAGGACCGCACCACCCTCATCAACAAGACGCCGTTCAGCATCGCCTGCCTGCCCGTGGCTGTTAGCGACAAGGCCTACAGCACCCTGGGCGTAAGCTCGTACACGACGACATGGACGTTCGCCATTCAGTGCTGACGACGACGACGTCACCGTGTCGCTTGTGCCACCTCGAGGCCACGTTGGAGTGGCGATAGTTTTTGCCATGAGGTCATGGGACAGACGGCAGGTGTTATGGATTAACAGGCCCGGTTGGCTGGCAGCTGCACCGCTTACACTCCAAGCTCTGCCAGCCAACTGTGTTTTAGGTTGCAGTACACAAAGGCAAAGATCCCCCATATAACCTTTGAGCCTGTTGGGGAAAAGTTATGTTAGCGGGTACTTATTAATGCCGGCATGTTTACACACTGTACCAAGGCTGAGTTGCACATTTAAGGCTGAGTTGATCTCAGGGAGGCCCAGGGACAGTTCAGATAACCATTCACCACTAATGTTAGCTCTGACCAGGGATCGAACCCGGGTCGCTGGGTTCATAGTGCAGTGCGTACAACACTGTGCCTTTGCTCCACGTGCAAAAAGACAAAGATCCCCCGTATAGCATGAACAGACTGTTGGGGCAAGTTCTGTTAGCGAGCACCTCATGCACACACACACAAGCAAATACATGGTCGTGTAGTCCCCACTGACTTTGTACAACATAAATTTATCATTACCTTTGTATTTTCTCTCTTTAAATTGTTTTCAGTCGACTTTAATTTACATTTAAAACTGTACAGGGTCATCAATTTCTTAGAGGCCAATAAAACAATGGGTGGAAACTATCGAGAAACAACATTTTATTTCAAAGACTTTACATGTCTCCCACCAATCCAACTACACTTAACAATTCTCATGTCGCTCTCCTAAGATATGGAGCCACATCACTTTCACGATATTCAGTCGCCTGTTGAGAAAGTTGGTGGAGTCCACAAATGGAGATGCCCACAGTAATGGGTGGTAAAAATCTGGATAAATTTTTGTTTTGTTTTAAACATACAGCCTATCTCGCTTGCACTCACTTGAATTTACGAGTAGCTGCGAATAACCCACGTGCTAAATAAACATCAATCTCCACCCAACACCAACCGGCCCCGCTCCATCCCGCAGTGCGTCTCCACAACAGAGGCAGCCGCGTTTACGATCGGCCCGGCCCGCGATGGCTCCTCCCGGTCCCCCATTGCGTGCTGGGAGCTAGCCGGAGCCGACGGAGCTGCTAGCGACGGCGCGGCCGCGCTCCTCAAGAGCCTTCGCCTCTCCGTGGCCAAGGAGGGAGGCGAGCGTCCGCACGGCAGCTGGAGTTTGCCGGCGCTCGTCCGGGTCGACCTTCCCCGGCAGAGCGTCGCCCTGCCTACGGACGACTACGCCGAGAGCCACGTGTGCACGAGGTGGGGGGTGCACGTCGGTCGATGGGGGTGCACGGGACGAAGCAGTGCCCTGGCCACAAGTTTACATGTATATATATACACGTGTGACATCCTGAGTGTTGTCTACTCGAGTGTTTTCAACTTTATTCCTCCGCCAAGTGGCAGGTCTTTGGCTCAAACTTCAATCCCGTCCCGGTCTAGAGCTTTCTTCTTCACATCGCCTTAAGGGACCCGTTCCATCAAGTTGTGAATACGCATGTTTTGTACTTGCTCTGCTGGCTCGTCTCTTTCCCAACTTTCTTCTAGAACTTCCAACGTGAAGCAATTCCCCCCAGAGAATCTGTGAATATACTAAAAAAAAATTATGAATTGTTCAAAATGGTTCTAGCCTCCTACACCAGTATTCTCTCATAAGAATCATCCCAGACACAGATTACTGACAATCAGGAAAGCATTCATTAATTGAATACAATACATTTTTACGCTTGCAACACATGCATGAAAATATGGACCTGTTTATGTTTCGTATACCTTGTTTATAATAATTGCTTCACGTGATCCATGCGGCCACCGGCAGAGCTACGCTAACCATGGAATTAGCACAATATATGTTGAATCGAATTGTGACTCAGGATAGGGGCATTTCACAGGGTTCACAAGGCGGGTGAATCATTGCTTTCTTGAATTTCTCGGTGAGCACCGATTGAGACTCAAGCGTCCCTCTTTTAAATGGAGGGGTGGGGGGGGGGGGCTACCTTGGCATGGCCCTCCTGTGAAAGTGCAACCGTCTTTCAAAGAAAGCGTGCGACTTTAGGATTGATCTTGTTGCGTGTATAAAGATTCACTAATACCTGTCCAAATTCAAGTTTCGTTCCATTCGCGACGCGTAAATTGGCCGATTTGTTGGATGACGGGCACCGCCTGCTAACAGTTTGCACGTGGACGCAGCGCTGGAACACTTTCGACGTACGATATCAACACAGTCCGACAGAGGTCGACCACGCGCGTGTGTGTGCTCGTAGTTGTCAGGGCTTGGCAGTGTTTCTTGCTGATGTATATGTCTGGTGTTCCCTTCTCAATGAGACCTCTTTCTTCCTGCTCCAGAGCGATGGAGCTTGTAAGCCAGGCTTGGCTCTCAGCTACACACACGTGAAGGGTGGGGGAACACTCCGTCCTTGACCATGCATTCCGATAGCCGGGAAATTAAACCAAATGTTTCGTCCATATTTTGAAATTAAATATTCTCCATGCAAGGTTGTGCGATTGTGCCTATCCGCCAGGACTGTTATTTTCAATTGATTTATAACCTTGTATTTTTTTAATCTCATTTTTTCATAGCTGATTTAATTAAGTGAAAAAAAAAATTGTTCCACTCCACTGCAAACAGGGCGTTTCTTAAAGTCTGGAACTACGTATACTTTGGTACTTTGGTCAGCGCACAGATTCATGAATTTTCCGTCGCTCTTCCATTTTTTATATGACGTCATTTTTTCCCAGGCAGGAAAGTCTCGCTGAGCATAGAGACTCTTTTTGCAGGAGGCATCAGGGATGCGTAGAAATCGCAGAGAAGATGAGAGATGAGTGGGACAAACGCATGGAAGAAGAAGAAGATCAGGATGTTCGGCCAATTTAGTTTTAAATTAATTTTTGGCAAGTGGAAGGAAACCAGAGTTACCCAGAGAAAACCCATGTATACTCGTCAGAATTATGTTCAACGGTCCATTAGACCCACTCGCTGTACTGACATCTCCTGGCCACCTCGCAACCCAGCGGGTTTGCATCTCATGTGTTTCAAGACGCTCATGCCAGCTTGTCTACTGTAACAACTGCACGTTCCTTATGTGGTTGGCCATCAAGTTTTCAGTATTTCATGTACAAGTCGTGCACACGTAAAGTTCACAGAACCCCCACCCCTCCCCACCGTAAGAAGGTACATTTAATTCCACGTGGCCCCAGACATCTGAAACAATTTGCCTAGGTTTTTACTGTGATGTGTTTTTGGGTTGAGTACCGTGCGTTGGTCGGCATAGTGTCTGGCATTTTCCTCCATGGGAGCTTCTTCTGGAATTGAGTTCAGCTTCTCCCGGAAATGAATCTAGTCCCTCGAGAAGCTCACAGCATGCGGAACGGAACGTTGGAGACCGCGACTAACAACACTCGGGACAACTGAAAAGCCATCCACGTTACCGACATCCTGGAGTGGCCACGTGACTCGTAGCCACCGAAAAAAAACACATCAGAGAGCTCCACTCTCTAGTTCCCGTGAGAGTTGCACGCTGCATTGTAGCCACGTTCCCTGCGCATTGCATTAAGGTGCAGGAGTAGGTGATAAAGCATTTGCCATTGCAGCACCCGATGTCTTAGAACAACCTCGTTTCCCTCCCTCAACGTCGTGAATCTTCCTTCAAAAAAATGCCCAGGAGATGAGTGCCGGATAAAAACCTATTTTGCAAATGTGATTTGTAACTTTCATTCTTACCCATGTATTGATAGTTACATTTTAATGTGCAATTTTATTGAGGGACTGTGTGTTGTCTTGGTGTGGTCTGGGACTGTTCTTGCCGTTGTTTTGGTGCCTTTGCCAAGCTTGGAAATTGGTGTACTTATTCAAGTTGAACTCGTCTACTTTAATCGGTTTTACATTTTTAATTTTAGTGATTTGCATTCATGTCCTATACTTTGCACTCCTGTCGTGTTTCTGTCTGTCGTAACTTTCTGACCCGTCGCACCTGGATGTCTGTAAAAGAAGAACTTTGTAGCTCATTGGATGTCTCCAGGATTAATAAAGGTTCTGATTCCAGTGTTGCCATGTGTGCTGTTGCGTACAGACCCGTGGTGCTCACCTGTCAAGAAGCCCAGGGAGTAACGTATCTATTCCTGCTCGAGGACCCGTGCCCTCGCATGCTGATCCACAACCTTTGTCCCGTGCCCATCACCTTGAAGGAGATCCCTGCAGGTGACCGCCAATGCAAATGGCTTTGAGCGAGCGCTCGTGTGTGTGTGTTTGTGCAGAGAACCTCATGAGCTCCGTGACAACTCCTGAGATCCGATCCGGTGTTTCTAATGAAACGAGATCATGTTCGTAATGCACAGGACAGTGAAGTCCAGATTTCAAAAACGTGAAACAGACGGCATATCGAATCACGTTGTGAACAGCTACGGCAGAATTCCATTTGCAATTATCCCTCCTGGGGTTTTGATTTTAACATTTGGCACTCACTTGCTTGAGTGTTAAAGCAAATTTGAAGGGGAAAGACAGAATATTAAAAAAATCGATTATATTTACAGCTAAATCGTCGTATGTCTGTCACCCAAACTCGTCACGTGTTCGAGCCACGTTTTTCGTGGTTCGTGGGTGATTATGGGTGGGGAGATCGTGGGTGTTGGGTGCTACGTGGTGGATGGGGTGGGGGACACGTAACAGCCAGGATTCACCATCGCCCACCAACCGTGTACTGTCACGTGTCCCCGTGTGTGCGATCGATTGCAGTGGAGCCGCGCCTTCCGGCGCCACCGCCCGTGATCCCTGCCGAGTGCTGGGCACACCACGAGCTGCAGCAGCAGAGGGCGGCCTTCCCCGACTGCCAGGCGAGAGGGCCTCTGCCGGCCGTCGGGCTGGCGCTGGTCCCGGCCGCCGAGTGGAGCGACGAGGTGGACCTCAACAGCGCCGGCACGCAGGTGCGACCCCCGGGAAGGAGAGGGGCTAATCAAACTATTAAAAAAACGAATATAAACTATTCTTTTTTTATTTTACCAGGTAAGGCCCACTGAGCTATGTAGCTCTTTTTCAGAAGCGACCTGGCTATCACAAATGATAGCTCAACGAAGTGACTTATTGCGTGGAAATTTATCGCAGCCAAATACTCGAAAACGCCCCTCAATTCTCTAAATGTGGAGGGAGAAACCGGAGGTCCCGGGGAAAAAGCCAAGCGACCACGGGGAGAGTTACATGCAATCTCTAAATATACAAGCGTCAGGGTCGGGATCGAACCGACGAACCTCCTGTATATCAGGCGAGTGAGTTAACATCTCGCCACCAGATCGGTAGCCGTAGTTTGAACCTGCTCACACAAGCGTGGGGCATTATTCCTCCCTGTTGGCAACCTTGAGTCAGTAGTGGAATTTCCACATTCCTATGGCAGCGAGATTATATCCATGGTTGTGCAAATGTTAAGCGCCCATCTATGAGCAGTACCTAGCTTACAATCTTGCATTATTTTCAAATATACGTCAAGGTGATATTTGAATATCCACATGAATTGATAACATTCGTGAGCTTTAATCCCGCAGAAATATTTTTGTTGCACACAGGAAAGTCTGTAAAAATGTAACATGAGCTCATGGCATTGCCTTCTTGGCTGCGTACACGTTTTGACATATGACCTGCGTGGAGCAGGAACCCCCCACAGGGGTCATCATTACTTTGCACTGCAATTGAAGCCGTGTGTGAATGTTACCACAAGGTGGCATAATCGTACAGGCAATGCGGTGCTCGCCGCCCGTACCGATTTCCCATAAATTATGTGCTCTGATTATTTCCTGTCGCACATGCAATGGTTAACTCCATGTCATGAAAAAAAAAACAAATCCGATATCCTCCAGGGTGTACAGATTTGTTCTTTTTATTTTGTTCTCCGTGTTCCCCGGCACGCGTTGATGTAAATTTAATCTATTTAAAATGGCTACTTAAGTGAGAAAATTCCCTCCCTGGGGATGCTGCATCCTGCTAAATCGCTCAACTTCGCAGATGGCGAAATGTTCCGTAGTGGGGGGGCGTTGCGTCTCACTGAGCGGGCACCCTGCCGCCGCCGCCCCCCCCTCCCCCGCCGCTTGCAGGTGGTGTTCCTGCCAGGCTTTGGCTGCGTCTACGTCAACATCTCGCACCACCGGAGCTCCCTCTCCGTCAGCATCGCTCCCGAGAGCAGGGCGGGGCCCGTACTCACCTCCCTGCGCAGGTGGGACGCGCCCACACGGCCCCGTGGAAGTGGACATAACAGAGCCACCTCGGAATCTTCGTGTGTGCCTGCCGTGTCGTTGTTTTTTCTTCGCAGTTGTCGCTGTAATGGCTCTCCGGTGTGTGTTTTTTGTTTTTTTACGGGGCTGTGCCGCGTGTTGTTTATAACCAAACTATAAACTTATTTTATTTTTACAGGTAAGGCCCACTGGGCTATATAGCTCTTTTTTCAGAAGCGACCTGGTCACAAATGATAACCCGTGGCTTATCGCGTGGAAATGTACAGCAGCCAAATGCTCAAAACGAATGCTTTTAAATGTGGAGGGAAAAACCGGAGGAACCAGAGAAAAAGCCACGTGACCACGGGGAGAGAGACACGCAGACCCCAAATATACAGGGGTCATGGTCGGGATCGAACCCACCACATCCTGTATACTCAAGCAAGGTTGTAAAGATCTTGTAACGATGTCCCGACATTTCACTCCACAGCTTCTTTAGGAACTGAATCCTTCCCCTTTATGATAGCTGTAATACATTGGTTCCCATGCATTGCATTGTGTGGGTGAGAATCCGTAATTTAACATTACGTTCATATAAATATAATGATGATCAATAATTTACTGCCATTATCAATCACCTGTTGACTGAAGGCCTATATACGTATAATATCAATACTTTTGAAACTGCAAGGCAAATAAAAAAAGAAGAGGCACGTACGTATGTAGAACTTATTTCGCACCGTACGTAGCCAACCGTGCTCATCGGAGGTGCGGGGGAAGGACAACAAACTAAACACAAAAAGCAGTTCTCAAGAAAGGAATGCTTTAAAAGTGCATAGCTCCAGTGGCTTCCTAATATCGGAAGGAAGAGCGTTCCAGACGGCCGCAGAAGCGCATCCGAAAGCGCGCGATGCGGCGCCCGACTTCGTCACACGTTCACAGCACGCACGCGCGTGCCACGTACGTCCGCTCGCTCTGTCCCACACAGGGAGACGCGCCACACGAGCCTGGACCTGCAGGTGTCCTTCGCCCAGGTGAGCGCCGTCCTCGCCGACGACGTCACCAACCCCGCGTCGTCCAGCGAGCTGCTCCGCCTCACGGCCGACGACGTCGTGCTGAGCCTCTCCCCGCGGAGGGCGACCCCCCCCCCTCGCGAGGGAGGGGGGTCGCCCTCGGCGGCGGGCCCCGGCGCCCCGCGTCCCGACCCCGCGGCGTCCGCCGGCTCGCTCGCGGACGACGGCGGCGACGGCTGCGCCCTGGAGGTCATCGTCGGAGACCTGCAGCTCGACAACCAGCTCTTCGAGAGGACGAGCTTCCACTTCCCCGTGCTGCTGTGCCGGGTGGACCCCGGGCCCGAGGACGCGGGCCCGGGCCCCCGCGGCCACGCGGGCGTGCCGGAGCGTGCCCTCGGAGGGGCGGACGTCGGCGGGCGTCGCAAGGGCGCCGCCTTCCGAGCGCTGGTCGTGTTCGACGAGGCCCCGGACTTCGGCTTCCACCCGACGGAGGTGGAGCTCGAGTTCGAGCCCATGCGGCTCTACTTGGAGGACACCCTGGTCTACTACGTGAAGACGCTTCTGGCCACGTTCGCGCCGGACGGCCGAGCCCGCCGCCGGGCGGACGGCCGGCCCGCGGGCGACGACGCCGCGCCGTGGGACGTGGCGCGGTCCTCGCTGGCGCTTCTGCGGCCCGTGCAGCTGCGCCGGCTGGCGGTGCGGCCGCTGCGGCTGCTCGTGAGCGTGCACGCCTCGCTCAAGCTCTACATCGCCTCGGACCACACGCCGCTCGCGTTCTCCGAGTTCGAGCGCGGGCCGCTGTTCACCACCCCGAGGCAGCTCGTGCACGCCCTGGCAATGCACTACGCGGCGGGGGCTCTCTTCCGCGCCGGTCAGTGGCACCGGGGTGACCAAAAGCCGCTCGCCGTGCCCATTGGGGTTTGACAGCACGATGGGGAGGGTGTTGTCACGTGTTGTGTATTGTGGGGGGGCGCACATCATGGGCCGCGCTAAAGGCCACCAGGGGCCGCCAGTGGCCCGCGGGCCATGCAATGAAGAACACTGACGTAGAGTATAACGTGCTTATTTAAATTTCCACGAGATAAGCCACTTCGTTGAGCTATCATTTGTGGGCCAGGTCGCTTCTGAAAAAGAGCTACACAACTCGGTGTGGGCCTTTACCTGGTAAGGTAAAAAAAAAAGGTCAGAGTTTCAGTTTCACGACGGTGACCTTTCGCGCATTCTCGGTTCGCCCGCAGGGTGGGTGGTGGGATCCCTGGAGATCCTGGGCAGTCCGGCCAGCCTGGTGCGCAGCGTCGGCAACGGCATCGCAGACTTCTTCCGGCTGCCGTACGAAGGGCTCACGCGCGGCCCCGGGGCGTTCGTCAGCGGCGTGTCCAGAGGCACCACCTCCTTCGTGAAGCACATTTCCAAAGGCACGTTCGGCGTCCCGGTGAACCCCTCGGTCCAGGAAGCCTGCTAAATGTCTGCGGGACCCTTGTTTTACTTTTTTGCCAGTATCAAGATGATGTAACACGAATAGGCTTTCTTTACCCTTTCCTGGCAGGAATACGGAAGGTGTTAAGATGTTCATTCACCAAATACTTATGGTAAAACGTGCCAAATAAACAACCATGCATTGGCAACGTCTGCATTGTCCTTTAAACTGATTGGCCGACGCCAAAGACAGCCTCCTCAATGGCCTTGTCTCACCACCAGTGTTAGACCAGAGAATGCGAAAAGGCGACCGAAACTCTTATATGTCGCAATTTTATTAGTTGCTGGCCACTTAGAGTCGAGGGCCTTTAGGCCTGTCCTCGATGGGGGGGGGGGGGGGGGGGGGGGTGGGAGCACGACACAGTCACAATGTTAGACAATGGATTAGCGCGGTTGACTACGTACGGTGCGAAAGAAGTTCAACATACATACGTCTGAATGTCAAACGCTAAACAGAATGAGTAACCATGTCTGCTCATGTCTGTCTTGCATTCTGCTGTAGCTATTACTGTATGCACGTAAAGGCCGTTGCGACACCCATTACTTGGGGGGCCCGCGGGGCCCCGCCCCCACCACGCCACCCAATGCTATGGGGCTGGTCTCATTTATCTGTTGCTCTACTTGAGCGGCAGTGCTTCAAGCTGCGTGAGCCCACGGTAGTGATTTTCTCAGTGCCGGTGCAAAATGCCACTGATAAATACAAGGGGTGCGACAACTCCACCCCTAGCGAATGTAGCACGATTCAGGGCATCGATTGAATTCTAGTGGCTGGAAGGGCCATGTGAATCCGTTACGTACCGCACATATATATACGGATTCTAAAATGTTGTTTGTGAAATAATGTATTGTGAAATTTTGATTTAAAGCTTTCGTGACTGCAGGGATTCATATTCTTGGTTCTTTCGGTAAAGTCACATAGAAGGGAAACAATAAAATAATAAAAATATTAAAAAATTAAACTCTCACGGCGTTTCGACTGCAACACAAGCAATCATCATCAGGTGTGAAAACCACAGCAAGAAAATTTGAAAAACGTTTTTCAAATTTTATTGTTTCCCTTCTACGTGACTTTACCGAAAGAACCAAGAATATAATGTATTGTGAATTTAAGGATCAACATGAATTCATCAATGCATCGTTATATCCCTACTAAATAATATTCCCAATTGTATATTGAGGTTTTCTTGAAGAAAAAAACCACAGATTTTATGGGCCTCTTTCAATCCACTGCTGGGTGTAAAGACCTTCCCATGCTGCGTCGGTCGTGGAGGTTTTTTGACCATACTTCACCACGCTGGCGAGTGTGGGTTGGTGATGGCGGGGCAGTGGTGCCAGAGACCGAGTCAGATACCACTCGCCACGAATGTTAGAGGTGGCCGGAAACCTGAAAAAACGGATGCTACCTTAGAAAACCTTTCTAGAGTTTTTGCAGTCGGAATTGGAGCATTTAATTGAATTTCAATTGTCACTGTTCCAGTTTATCTTTTTTTTTCCCATATCCGTGCTTGGCACAAGGTGAAGACACTTAACGTCTGTATCTTCTTTCCACCGTGGTGGGGGCGGGGTGGGGAAACAGGCACGCTGACGTCCATCACCAACCTGGCCACGAGCCTCGCGCGCAACATGGACCGCCTGTCGCTGGACGAGGAGCACTCGAGCCGCCAGGAGGAGTGGCGTCGGCAGCTGCCCGAGAGTCTGGGCGACGGCCTGAGACAGGGCCTCTCCCGCCTCGGCCTGAGCCTGCTCGGTGAGACAAACACACCAACTTTAGCCATCCTCGCGGCAGCGGCTTTTTTCCTGGCCATTGAACAAAGACGGTCACCGCATCGCGCGCGCTTTCGGATGCGGTTCTGTGGCCGTCTGGAACGCTCTTCCTTCCGATATTAGGAAGCCATTGGAGCTATGTACTTTTATATATCTAGATTGAAAACTAATTTCTTGAGAACTGTTTTTTTGCGCTTAGTTTTTTTTTCCTTCGCCCATACCTCCGATAAGCACGTTTGGCTACGTACGGTGCGAAAGAAGTTCAATGCACACATTGTACATACATACAGAGGGCTCCTTAGCCTGCGAGCGGAACTGTCAGGCTCAGCACGTAGGCTCTCGCAGACGCTCGCAATCCAAGCATGGTCTGCCAAGTTGTGCCGCACGCTGAGCATTAACCTTCCTCACCTGGTCTCCTCCCTTGTATAAGGGTATAAGGTTGGAGACCAGGTTGGTTTCCACACTGCAATGTGTGGCGACGGATTAAGAGAAAAATATGCTCAATGTGCGGCAACACCTGGAAGATGACCACACTTGCATTAAGCGTGGCTGTGGAAACCCACTAAATACATCAAGCCCTGTGTTAAGAGAAGAGCCCACAGAACTTATCTTATCAATACACACACAGCAGGGAGTGCACTTTGCCCACACAGCGTGGTATATGAGATGCTTCTTGCCTGACAGCCACACGGATATTGTTAATTATTGGAGCTGGATTGGCGCCATAATAATAATTGAAAAACCAAAGTTAATTTTACGTGTTTTTTTTCGTGTGTGCAGTAGTCATTGGGCAGAGACCTTGAACTGGATACACTTGAGAATTCTGTTTTAATCACAAGTGGCTTAAACCTGGATTTGAATCCTGGTTCTCTAGCTTCATGTTCTGACACTTTATCCACCCACTGCCTGGATTGTGTATGTGCCCTACAGCTCAACGATACACTTTTTTATTTTACCAGATAAGGCCCACTGAGCTATGTAGCTCTTTTTCAGAAGCGACCTGGCCACAAATAATAGCTCAACAAAGTGGCTTATCACGTGGAAATTTATAGCAGCCAAATACTCTAAAAGCGTGTTTCTAAATGTGGAAGGAAAAACCAGAGGACCCGCGGAAAAATCGACGTGACTACGGGGGGAGAGGCATGCAAACCAAAAATATACAGGTGTCAGTGTTGGGATCTAACCCACGACCTCCTGTATACCAGGCGAGGTAGTTAACATCTCGTTAGCGTGGCACTCTAAACGTGGCGTGACCACGGGGTGACGTGGATGAATTGCAATTGACTCCACTGTGTCCCTCAATAAAAATTAAATATTTGCATGCTGTATACATGCATGAGGCTGGTGAGGGAAGAATGAGCATAATAAATCTACATGTAATTTGTAATGGCGATTAATAATAATATAAATTGCATTATTTATTCCGGAAAGTCTCATGGCATCTATCAAACATTTCTCAGGAGGGGCCTGCAATGGGATGTTTTGACCGAGTCCTTTTCAATGACGTTCTAATTTTTCTCATGTTTCACATGTATGCAGCGGGAAGGTGACATTCCCAAGCAATCAAATGAGCTCTTACACACCTCGGGCCATTTGTCCCAGGCTCATCTACGCGGGTTTGAGGCTTTGCGAACGAGAATAGAAGATGTGAGAGTTGAAATCAAGCAACGCTGCCAGAGCGCTTCGGTTACGTCACTATTTACTTTAATGGGACGATCGTTTATAATGTAAAAAGAACGCATAAAAACCCTGTAACATGATAACAAATGTAATGTTAATAGCTTCAAAAGGTCAAAGAGTCTCCCACTCGTTCGCCATCGTTGTGAACACGTGGCCTGGAATCTTCCCCAGGTGGTCTCCAGAGCCCCGAGGCAGCAGCACATGTCACATGGTGTTGTTGCAAATTGTCAGAAGTGTTAACATTGTTTGAAGCACCCCTGTATTGATGTTATAAAATGTGTAGGAGCGACCTCGCAAGTGACATCACTCGAGTGCTACAATGGTGTGCATGACTGACTTCTCCCCCATTCTACATAGGCACGTAAATGCATGCTGGTGTGTGGTGTCGCCTATTGCCGGGCGTGGTGCTGGCCATCCACCCCCTCGTGCCCCGTGCCGGCCTTTCTCAGGCGCTGGGAGCGCTTGCCCCGACAGCCTGTTGTTTTATTTGGGCAATTCCACTCCATCTCAAATTTAGCCAGATAGTGGAGAGTTTGACCGGAGAGTTTGACCGTGTGCGCATATGCATTTGCTTTAACTGCGTGTCTTGCGGTGTCGTGATTGCTTTGCGCAGGCGCCATTGCAGGAATAGTCGACCAGCCAATTCAGAATTTCCAAAAGGCCTCCATCGGCAGCAAGACCAAGGGCGTGATCTCGGGCATGGGCAAGGGGTTGGTTGGCGTCTTCACCAAGCCCATTGCGGGAGCAGCAGAGCTCGTTTCACAGACTGGATATGGTAACGCTGTGTTTCCTTTGCGTTTCAGTGTGTGGTTATAATTCATTAATATATATATTTAAGTAGAAATGTACGGTAATTTTGCTGCCCATTGTCAACGCTATCTCCTCTTAAAGGAATTTACATTGCGCCTTCACGAAGGCGCTTTACAAAGAGTTAACAATGGTACGCATGAGTGTGATGGTGGCGATGAGGTGAAGGAAAGAGATGAGAGGAAGCAATGGGAGCACATCTGTGACGATGCGTGAATTGGGCGAAATTGATGACAGTAAATGATGATGATGATGAAGATTAATAGATTGAATGAATGGGGCAACGCGTGGTGGCCGTATAATAAGAATACGAAGAGGGACAATTAACGGTGGTGGTTATGAGGATGAGATTAAGGGATCGTGTGGTTGAGCTGGGGAACAACGAGTGAGTTGCGAGTGAGGATCGGAAGCTAGTGAGCGACGGTGACCGCTTAATGAGGAGTAGGAAGTTCGTTCCAGTGAAGGGGCGGGGGGGGGGACCAAGAATAGAATAGAAAGCATGGATTGAGCGCAAGCCGAAGGAGGAACAGAGAGAGAGAGATGGCAAAGATAGAGAACTCAGAGGGCACGAGAAGGCGACACGTAGAAAGATACAAGAGTGGCAAGACACGATGGGGCTGGGTCCATGAAGGGACTTGGAGACCAGCGTGAGGAATTCGAACATGCAACGGCAGTACACAGGGAGCCAATGCAGTTGCGCAAGGAGGGTAGAGGTATGGGAATTATAGGGAAGGGTTGAATAATATGATCCGAGCTGAGTTCTTTTGGATTGGTTGAAGGGGGGCAAAAGAGTAAATGGGCAGACCACGCTTAAGAGAGCTGCAGTAGTCCGGACGGGTGTGGATAAGGCAACGGATGGGAAGTTTTGCAGCAGAGGTGGAAATGAGCAGTCGGATTTTGTTGAACGAATGCGACCGGCAAGCACGGGTAGTGGCGGCAATATGATCGGTGAGGGAGAGGGAAGAGATAACAGCAAGGTTGCGAGCTGTGGAAATGGGGGAAATAGAAAAAGGAGGGGAAGTACATGGTGGGACAGGGAGGAGGGGAACGGGTGGCAGGGAAAAAGATGATTAGAGTTTTGGAAGGGTTGATGGATGAAAGTGACGTGACATTCAAGGTTGGATAGAAACCAGGCAGGACCCGGAGAAAAATCCACGTGACCACGGGGAGATAAGACGTGCAAACTCCAAATATACAGCAGGCATCGGCGTCGGGATCGAACCCGCGACCTCCTGCGTACCAGGCAGGATGCTGTTCTTTACGCGTTGGCACCTTCCTGAGTCAGTCGCTTCTGACCGAGCTTAATTTCTTAACCACTCTGAAACTACCGCTGAGCTGCACACGTAATATTTTGCCGAGCGTTTGCGAATGTTACAGTTACATTTTTACTTCGCGCTTGACCGAAAAGTTTCTAACTCGTAAAAAAATGTGGCATTAAGTAGAAAGTAAAGTTAAATTATCGGCTCGTTGCTTGAATTGGCATTACCCCGCATTATTGTAAACTTTTTTTCCCTCTTTTCACACGTGCCAAACAACCGTGAGAGATGTAAATAACCGCCTTGCGCGGTTCCTCTCGAATTTCTTTCACCTCGCTTTGCAATTTTTACTTCAGGCATTCTGCACGGGGCCGGCTTGAGGCAGTTCCCAAAGCAGCGCTTCTCACCGACGGACGAGGCAGCTGCCCTGGCGCCGAACAGCCATGCTAAATACGTCTGGTGAGTCACTCTCGCCAAAAACGGTTGTTCACGCGAGCCCTTGCCGGTACAACGCTGCGTAGGTTTGTCGTGGGTTGTGCTGCATGGCTCTCTCGGGACCTTTTCTGGTCGGACCCGCGCGTTGTTTGTCTGACGTTTCGCCTCCATGTGCTGGGATCTTCTTGCCCGATTTCTCGGGATTAGCAGCGGTATGCGCCAATTTTTTCTGCGTCCCGTGGAGGATCCCACTGCTACGAGAGTCGCAGTGGGATAGCCAACCGTGCTATTCGGATTTTTGCGATGATTCTCCGTATTGGACGTACATCGAGTAACCATGCAGGGCTGCACCTCTCCCCCCCACCACCCGCGGCCCCGTGCCCCACACACAGGAAAATGCTGCAAGCCCTGGGCCGCCCAGAGGCACTCATGGCCCTGGAGGTGGTGATGATCAGCGGAGCGGGCGTGGAGCACGAGGGCTGCCTCTTGCTCACGGCCGACGTGCTCTTCGTGGTGAGCCTCAGCGAGGACACGCAGCAGCAGGCCTTCCCCGTCACCGAGGTGTCGTGCCGCATGTCGCTCGCCCAGGCGGGCCTGCTCGAGGTGCAGCTCAAGCAGCCGAGTGGCGGCGCCGGCGGTGCCGGCGGCGGCGACGACACGCCGGAGGTAAGAGGAGACCCTCCCCCCCCAACCCCTTCTCACGAGCAGGGCCACGGTTGTAGGATTTCTTGTCCGAGCCTATATATCTATTTCACGTAACCTATTTGTTATTTCACCAGCTAAAGGCCCCACTGAGCTGCTATGTAGCTGTTTTTTTCAGAAGCGGCCTGGCTGTCACCACTGATGGCTCAACAAAGTGGCTCATCATCGGCACGTGGAAATGTGTAGCGGCCCCGCACTCTCAACCCGCGGTGTGGATTCTTAATGTGGCGTGGACAAACCGGTGGGCCCGGAGAAAAATCCACACGACAACGGGGAAAACACGCAAACTCCAAATATACAGCAGGCGTCAAGGACGGGATCGAATCCACGACCTCCTGTATACCAGGCGACGTAGTTAATATCTCCTAGCCACCATGATGATGAGAGAGACACGCAAACTCCAAATATACAGCAGGCGTCAGGGTCGAATCGACGACCTCCTGTATACCAGGCGAGGTAGTTAACATCTCGCCACTGTGATGATGATGATGATGATGAGAGAGCGACACGCAAACTCCAAATATACAGCAGGCGTCAGGGTAGAATCCACGACCTCCTGTATACCAGGCGAGGTAGTTAACATCTCCTAGCCACCGTGGCACTCCTTGTCGTCTCTTGTCGTTGCGGTTGCTCAGCAGATCGAAAGTCCTGAAACTCCCAAGCGGTCAGCAACAGCGCTCTTGAATCTACAGGACAATTTTTTGTCAGAATCTAGATGATAACAAAGAAAGGTTTAACCAAAGCTGTTGATGTTTTGGCGTTTGCGTCGTCCTTATACTGTTCACCGTTTGGTGGCAATTGTCTGTAGCCCCGGTGAGACAAACCCATAAAATGGATGCCTCTGGTGTATAGGCCAATCACTTTCAAAGGCAATGCATACATTAACAAATGTGTTTGCATGTTTCACCACAAGTCTGTTAGGTCAATGCAGACTTGATGCCTTGCAATCGGTGTCCAGTTGGTGTTTGAACATCTTAACAACTGTGTTTTTGGCAGAAAGGGTAAAGCCGGTTTTTTGTTTGCACTATTGAAGGTGTCTTTTATTTTTAAGCATGCTGGCTGTGCACGGACTCAAAACGGCAACCTGCCAGCAACAAGTAGCTGAGCACAGACTCAAAAGCCCAAAATACAAATTAGCCAGAAACAAATCGCTCGATTGAAGGAGTATATATATATATTTTTTTTTTCTTATCACGGTTTACTACTCACCTGCCACGTGTGTTTTACATCTAGGCAGCCAGTTTTGTAGTGCAGGCCAAACCACCCCCCCCTGGGTGCCGGATTAAAGTAACAGCAAGGCAACGCTTGTCCCAACAGTCTGTAAGAATTGACGGTGTATCGAGTTTTTTTTTTTTTTTCCCCCCCCACCCACGTGGGAAGTTGTGTTAGTGATGTGATGCACCGTTATGAAAGTCACGGTGACCTGGGATCGAATCCCAACTCTGCACAAAGTGAGCGGGCAAACGCTATCCGAATCTGCGGCTGAGCTTAGCCCAACGTCAATTTGGCCGTACAGGAACACCTGATGAGATGTATAAACATAAGTGGCCGGGCGTGATCAATGGTTCACACCACGACATTGCTTCCCTTGCCAGCCTGAATATTTGCTCACCTGCAAAGCACCATATCATTGAGTGCATGTTACCCGCCATGACAGGTGGCTTAGAAACATGGACAACTGATTAAGAAATTAAGCGAAAGCTTAAGACTGTGCAAAGAAGTATGGAAAGAGGCGTGCTTGAGTTACGCCGAGAGATAAAGAGTCACGAATGGATTCCAGGTCAAAGTCATAATTTTGACTGTTCAGCAAAGTGGGCTTGAGCGGAACATTTCTCAAGAAAAGAAAGATGGCTTGTGAGCGAGAATAACAACACGATGGCAGCCAAAGGAAGGGACGTTCCCAAGAGGTCACTCCACTGCAGAGATGGCACGTTGATATCACCTCGTGTGCCGGTGCTGGTGGGATTGTGGAATCGCTTGACCGTTGGTGGTTTTTCGCCAGGTTGGGGAGGCCTTCATCCAATACTGGGTTGATCATGGCTGACAATGATGAGCTGTTGCTATTAACAATCCTTAAGACTATAAATGAGATATATTTGTAATTGGATGATGTTTGTTTGCAAAAGTGGCCGGATTTGTTGCTGCCCACAACAAACACATTGTGTACCATTCCGGCGGCTCTCCGGGCCAGCAAATGCTCGTTACAATCCTGGGGACTAAACCAGAGGAATCTTAATATTTTGTGTGTGCATGTGCGTGTGCGGCTTCAGCAGCAGCAGCAGCAGCAGCAAGCGGAGCTGTGCGGGCAGGAGAAGTTGTCGGAGCAGCAGTACGAGCGCTTGGTAGACTACGTGCGCCGCTCGTCGCAGTACCTGGCCCCGCTGGTGCCGCGGCACGAGCAGGCTCCCCCGGTCGCCCGCTCCGCGCCGCCCGCCGCCAACATTAAAACCTACCAGTACCTCGTGCACCCCAGCTTCGGAGAGGTTTTCGTGGGGAGGTTCACGCAGGCCAAGAACAGGGCGCTGCACAAAGGCTTTTCGTGAAGGCGTGTGGAGGCTGGCGCGATGACAACCGTTGGTCGATCAAGAAGTGACTCGACCGACGGACGGTTATAACTGACTATTTTGTGGTCGTTTGCCCGGCCCCCCCCCCCCCCCCCCCCCCCCGTTTAAAAACGGTGGCGGCGGCCACCGTTGGGAATATGCCCACCACCCCCTCCCCGCCGCCCCCCTACGAGCCGCGGCGAAACGTGACGCGGCCGATGACGGCATTGCGTCACCAAGCGCAGCCCATCATCTCCAATCTGTCGAGTAAATTGGACCAATGATCGGCACGGTATTCGATTGCTTATATCATCGGAGAGCTCAGCACTAAAGATGATTGTCGCGAAATATGCCATGATATTTAATCTCTCCTACGCATCCTCCAACAATAGGATGGGGAGAGTGGCAGGTTGTGCTGCACGTGTTGTAGATGGAGAGGACAGTACAGAGGCTTGGGAGGGTTTTCTCCAAGTTGTTTACGATGAATACGAGCAGAACAGATACATTGTCATCTTTGTATTTATTCACGAATATCTCCGACATGCACAATTGTCGTTTAGAATGTTGCCTTATTTAAATTCTCGTGTCAGTTCTATTGAGTAAATGATACAAGTGGTTTTGTGTGATTTAGATACAGTGAAGCAATTTGTTTATTTTTATTATGAAGAACAATTCTAAGAGGAAATGAGCACAAGTTTACCCTCCACGCATTTGTGTGCCAGTATTGCGGTAGACACTTCAATATGTTACATTTAGCACCCAATTACAAAATGCTAAGATCAAAACAATGCAGGTTTGTGCTGATTGTAACCAGGTAAGAAATCATTAGGATGAAAATCAAAACTTTAACTTGTATCTGGAGCATTTTCTAAACACAAACTCAACACAAAAACGTCAACTTATCTGTCGAAAAAGAAATTCCCATCTCCACGTGAGGCATGTATATTTAGTCAGAAGTATGCTGCTCATGCTTTTCTTGACAACTGGCCACGTGTTTATGATATGAGATGTAAACAACGCCGTGTATGCATGGGTAAATGCAGAGTGCCAGTGTGACATTAGTGGAGGCCTGTGTGTTCTTGGTAGCACATTCCATTTAAGCTGCACGTCTCCAAACACACACGTGCTGGCATGCCAACTGTAAATAAATAATAGCTGTTCTTTTTCAAATATAAATACATATTGTGTATACTACATATACAGATCGTTTAAATATCGGTGATCAGTTTTACAAGTTTACAGATGAAATAAAAAAAAATGTGTCGCTAATCGTTGGGGGTGTAAGAATTAATCCATTCACATCAATTTATAAGCACACGATACACGCATCAAAACAATGTTCGTATGTTGATATGTTGAATGGGACCTCAGCAGCCACTAAGTGGCCACTACATTCACCCCGATGTAAAAATATATATATTTGTGATCGCAACCCTAACTCGTGACAACTCATCGAAACGCCACGGGGGTTGGATTGTTCCCTATATTATTCTGCCCAATCTACCGGCAGGTCTTTGGTTTCTGAGTCCCTTCATTCTGTCAGATTTTGGGTTTGTATGCCCCTCCCCACCCCTGCCCAGACTGCCTGGGAATTTCTCAATTTTACTGATATCTGGTTGTATTTTTTGTTGTTGTTGAACTTGATCGTAGTACACTGCACAGATTTTTGACGACCTAGGCCGACTGAGTGACGTGTTCGGGGTTAGTCTCCTGTGGGAAAGGTGGAAGGATATCTCTTTGTGGCTCATGATTAACTGTTCCACCTCTAATAAGCACGTGTTTTATGGCATGCTTACGAAATTAAAGTTATAAGTTCACTCTGAGTACACTAACTCCAATTATAAAGAAACATTGGCCCCAAATACATATACATTGTGTGTATGTGTTTTATAATTGTGCGTAAATACTAATCAGAGGCACTAACAATGGGGACTGGCTTGCCAGCCTATGACGTGATGTACACATGCATACAGGTTATACCCACGTTTATTCTTTTAATAAACATGAGCAAATGTTTACAATTAATTACTGCTGTGTGTCGATACATTGGGGAGAAACAAAAAAAATCTGTTTTGGAAAAGCACGGTAAAATAAAAAGTTGCCTGGTCCATCATATTCCCTTTGATTGACCAATGAGTGTGGCCAAGATGCGTGTACAGGTCGTGGATGGATAAATATTGTTTGTGGGCCGTTTAGAAGTGAGAAGCCACTGCTTTGGAAACCTCATAAGATGGGCCCCATGCATGAATACAAATAACACAATAACGGTGAATGTCAACGTTTCTGATCCATTTTACAGCAGGAAATAAGCACAGATTAAACACATTCTTAAAGTATATCGTTATCTTGCCTTCCATTAACAAGTTCAGGTTTCTAAAACGCACTTCAACATGTACTTCATATTTGTATCCCGGTCCGCCTTTAATAACTCTCCTTCGTGACCATTATCGGATGTGTCGGTGTGACACAAATGTATCGGGCAAAAAAAAACGAATCCGTGGAAATTAATGTCCTGCTTCCATCGATGCGACATCAGAACCCGTGACGACACAATTGTGCACGTGGCGGGCCGAACGCGCGCACGTGACCCCTCGCGTCACTGGGAAGCCACGCTGAGCGAGCCCTGCAAGTGAAGAACACGCGGCGCAACGCTCCGCGTGGCCGCTAGGAGGCGCTCGCTTCGGATCGTGTGCCCGGTTGCGTTTAATTTAAACAGCAATGACATTGCGGAGAAGTACATTTTTAATATGTTGCAAATGTGTTTTTTTTACAATAATGTACATATGTGAGTGGCGTAGCTATCGCGTGCTCAGATGGTGCAGCTGCAACGGACCGGTGGGACCAGGGGCGGAGCCACGGGGGGCTGGGGGGGCTGGGGGGGCTTAGCCCCCCCCCCCCCTGACATTTTAGGAAAGTCGGAAATCGGGATAACCGGATATCCGGCTGCTGCAAAATGCTGCCCTGCAGGCTGCTACCTCGTGCTGCCCTGCAGGCTGCCACCTCGTGCTGCCCTGCAGACTGCCACCTCGTGCTGCCCTGCAGGCTGCCACCTCGTGCTGCCCTGCAGGCTGCCACCTCGTGCTGCCCTGCAGGCTGTCACCTCGTGCTGCCCTGCAGACTGCCACCTCGTGCTGCCCTGCAGGCTGCCACCTCGTGCTGCCCTGCAGGCTGCTTGAGCGGCAGCCTTTCGAACTTATCGAACTTATTAGCCACATCAACGGCTCCGACCTATTAATAAACTCCGCGTTCAAATCCAATAAAATTTGTTTTATACATTTGTGGCGCCCGTTGGAAAACATAAACACACTGGATATCTCAGAATAATGAAGTCAGTCCCCCCCAAAGTTAAAATCCTGTCTCCGCCCCTGAGTGGGACTCACTCATGCGTTGAGCTTTGAAGAGGGGGACAGGCGGCCTACACTGCAGGGAGGATCTGCACAGTGTGTACAGGGTTACAAGTGCAGTATTTCGACTTCAGTACAGTTGCACGCTGGCCAGGCGTTTTGGAAGAGGTGGGGGTACTCACACTTTACCCTGGCGCACGCGGTGCGTTCGTTTTCATTGCTTGGTGGACGGGCGCGAGAGGATTTAAGAATCTTGATTTGAAGCTTTCGTGACTGCAGGAATCCATACTCTTTGGTTCTTTCGGTAAAGTCACGTAGGTAGAAATACATGTAAACAAATCACGACGTTTCGATCGCAACACAAGCAATCTTCATCAGGTGGAACAAGCACAGCAAAAAAAAATGCTGAAGTAGGCGCCTGGAGATCGAATTTAACCGGCGACCTTTTCAAATGCAAGTCCAGTTTGCGTACTTTTCAACCCCTTATCGGTGCCGTACCTTATTACAGACCAATTAAATTTACATGAGGACGCACTATCTCTTCGGTTTATTTTACGTCTTCTTCTTGCACACGTCTTTACTCATACGGTCCTTGTACTTCCACCCAGGCCCCCCACTCTCGTCTCCCACCTGAGCCCCCCACTCTCGTCTCCCACTTGAGCCCCCCACTCTCGTCTCCCACTTGAGCCCCCCACTCTCGTCTCCCACTTGAGCCCCCCACTCTCGTCTCCCACTTGAGCCCCCCACTCTCGTCTCCCACTTGAGCCCCCCACTCTCATCTCCCATCCAGGCCCCCCACTCTCATCTCCCACTTGAGCCCCCCACTCATCTCCCATCCAGGCCCCCCACTCTTATCTCCCACTTGAGCCCCCCACTCTCATCTCCCATCCAGGCCCCCCCACTCTCATCTCCCACTTGAGCCCCCCACTCTCATCTCCCATCCAGGCTCCCCACTCTCATCTCCCACTTGAGCCCCCCACTCTCGTCTCCCACCCAGGCCCCCAAACTCTCATCTCTCAACTTTACTCCTGCCAAACGCCTTGTTCGGGCGTGTACACTAAACACGGGGAATGGCTTTTGGTCACCCCGTGCCCCTTATAAATATCACCATTCATCCGACAAAGTCCCATCACAAGGGAGAAGCACACATGATTGACCGCACTCTCGCTAAAGTCGCCGCAGCAGGTAACGCTGCCCAGCGTCGCTATGTTGTGGCGTGGCCTGTGTCTGGAAATCCGGATGTGGAAGTGTGTAGCTTGCGCGGATTATATGTACCGAGAGCGTCTTGTATCCGGCTGGTACGGGGATCGCTACTCTCTTTAGTAGAACCCAAAAAAAAAGCATGTCCCACCACTTTTTTTTTTATTTAGCCGTATGATTGTTTTTGTTGTCGTTGCCCGTATTGAAGCGGCTGTACGCCGTATAGACCTGAAAACTCAATTACCCTGTACAAGAAGACGGGCGAACCGTTTGGGTTGACAGGTAATGAGTGTGCTAACCATTAGACCACAACAGCATCATTACACCACGGTAGATCCAAACAAAACATACAATTAAAAAAATGTTTATTTTCTAAAGTACTGTCTGCACGTTTAGCATGAATTTATCTTTAAACACGGGCATTTTTTTTACTGGACAAAACATGCTTGTTTGCAAACAATAATGTTATCCAATGGCATTTTTTAATCCCCTGCAAAGTTCAATCTATTTAATTTCAAGGAAACAGGTGTTGCTTTTCACAAACATGTCAGGAAATGCATTGACGACCAC